CACTTTAAGGTGCTGCCCCACATAGTTTTTGCTTAACTGAACTCGAAAAATTTCACGTCAGGACGTCTTTGGTAGGTAGCTATCTCGAACGATCAAAAATGGCTTGATAAGGTAGGTAGATATCTCGAACGACCAAAAATGGCTAATCCAACATAATCCAACTTATAATTGACCGGTGGCACCACATCAACACAACACAGAAACCATAGAAATGTCATGAAATGTCTTCCATCACCTGAGGACACCTGACCGCAACTCTGCGGGCGAGGGCAGCTGCTCTGGTGCTGGGGCTGCCTCAAAGATTCATGATTCATGTGTGTTTCTTTTTTATGGGTAAATGTCTATCTATCTGTCTATCTCTATCTATATACATTATATATATATGTGTGTATAGTCTGTATATAGTGTCTGTATGTGATAATATATATACATGCTATGTGTGGCATAATACAGTAGTATATGTCAATGTATTCTTATATATGCATGTACATCCAGAGCAGATTTCTGCTGGAAAACCCAGGAATCGACCCGCTTCGGCCATCACAGACTAAGCATCCAGCCATCAATCGTTCAGGCCTTAGCCCATGAGGGATATTAGGGGACCTCCAAGTCAACCCCAAGTTTCATTCAGTTTGGGGTAAAAGAGAATGGTATGGGATAGAAGTTTGAAAGTGTGTTTTTTGCATTGTTTTTTGCGGTATATCAAACCCCAAGCACCCATTTTCACCTGAAATGGCGATCATTCTGTGGTTAAATCTGCCCATCTGGCAGTACATTTCCGTTTTGGCACGTGCCATCCCACTGGCAAGTCGAAAAAAAACGGTAGCAATGCTACAGTCAACCGAATTTTCTCTGGTCACCCTGGAAGTCCAGCAACGTCAACCGAGTCGGTTTCTGAGCAACCAAACAATTGTGCCTGGGGGAACGAGTCGTGGCGATACATCGCTAGATGTCATTGGGTGATAAGCTTGTTGTGCGAACCCCATCCACGAGGGTCATCAGGCACAAAGAGGGATAGTACGAGATAGCTTACAACTGGAAAATGGTTCCAAAATGGTTCCAAGGACCTTAGATTTTAAGTCGAGAAGAGTCAACACCAACGAAGATGACGACTTAGGTCGAATATGTCCAAAGCTGCATGATTAGAAATGTCCATGACGACGATCCCACAATCCGTCCTCCCAAAAATCATTGGGCGCAAAATTGATCCACAAAATCATAGCAACTAAAAACGCTGGTCACATATTCGCAACTGTGAGCATCACTTTGCACTGCGCCCATCAATGATGGCTGAAAATCCGAAACTTCGGATGAAATCCCCGACCACTCGGATACTGGAAGATCTGGAAGTTAGAACTAGGATTACTGGTGACGTGGTTTTCAGGGTTACAAGGCCTAACATAGATTAACATAGTTGGTGGATTTCTCAGTTGCTAATCATTCCTTCTAAAGTGATCATAACATGTCATAACTCAGCTTCCAATCATAAATCCGAACTGCCACGGATCATCTCCACAAGAACATCACATCCCAACAATTTACCCCCACCTGTCGATCCTCCATGCGCATCCGGCAGCGTTCCAGTTCCTGTCAGAAAAATCCCATTCCCAGTATGTTTCATATCCCAAAATATCTCCAATATCTCCAAGAACAAACTCCGAAATGAATAGATCCAATATGATCCAATACTAAACTGCATTAAACCATAGGGAATCATCAATCGTCTCGTTTCTGCATGACGAGATTATGAGAATTCTGTTGCGCCCTTTCATCATTTCCAGGTGCTATTGCCAGAAGTTGAAGCACCCTGGCACTCAGGCTGTGGTTGCCACCAGCGAATAAAGAATAGAAGATATATTTTTGGGGGTAGATCATTAGGATAGGTCATTGAAAATATTGACATTTCAGTCATTTCAGTCCTTAGGGACAACATGGACCCGTTAAACCATGACAAATGGATGACAAATGACCCAGCAACATGGTATAGGTTTTGAGGCATCCCCACTATTAGTGCAAGAAATCTGGGGACTGACTGTCTGCTGGGCAAAGGGGAACCAGTTGGCGTTTTAGAGTTTCAAAATCTTTCAAACACAATATGGACCGACGGCGAAAAAACATCTTAAAACATGTTTTTTAACCTTCAAAGCCCATTGGGTGAAACCAGGTGAAACCATGGGATCACTGCATATCAGCTCGCTACAATGGATAATGATGGGATTTAGGTGTGTCATTTCTTTGGAGAGACCGACTTGAGGCATCCACCGCATCTGTCCTGGAGGATGGCTTCCTTGGATGGAGGTGCCACCAAATCGCTACCTCAGAAGGAAACAAACACTTCAGGAGATTATTTCGGTTGTTGACTTGTGATGATTGTAATGATACAATATGTTATATAATATTATATAGTTGTATAAAAATTTCTATGTAGTTTACATTATGCTTTCATACACTTTCTATGAGTTCGACATATCTTTGAAAGGTTAGACTCCTTAGACTCCAAACATCCCCAATCAACATAGCCCTGAGGTACCCAATGCTGGGATATCCAATGTTTGGTGGTTCCGGTGGTGCTATATCCATCTTGGGTGATGATCCCACTTGATATTGCACGTGCACGTCGTAAACAACAACGCTCGGTCGTCCTGTAAACGCGCGCCTGCAAACGCTCTCTGGCTGTTCATTTTTCATGGCAGCCACTTATTGTCTTTTTCAAGGTGATACATGACCCCACCCGGTTCCCCAAGAAAATCACACTATCCTGCGGGCAATACTTCTAACTAGCGGGCAATACTTCTAACTAACGGGCAATACTTCTAACTGACGGGCAATACTTCTAACTGACGGGCAAAGCGACAGTACCGGTAGCATGGAGTAGCGATGACAGCGAGCAAGAACGTTACTTCAACGTGACATCTCAAGCGTACATGGACGCTATTATCCCACCCCACCCCGCCCCGACACCGGGAAGGGAAACACTGACGTACGTGGTAAAAATGCACAAAAGCGCGCTGTGCCTATGGGAAGTGCGATCCAAAAAATGCGCGTTTTCAGGTCGACCGCGCCAACAACAAAGACTCACTTTTTCAGATGGCCCCCTTGATTCATCGGCAAGGATAAAAATCATTATCAATCAGAACTCAACTGTACGCTTGAAACATATTCCAAACATCCATCGTCATCCGATGTATTGATGCTTATAGTATCAATACTGCATCGAACAGATATCAGTGATTCTCATTTACGGGTACCTCTTCAAACGCGGATGACTATAGCTATGGGTCGGTGTCAAACGTGGAATGGTGCTCATTCAGCTCATACACGGAAGCAGCCATGCGAAATCCCTCTCATCATGCAGTGAAAATCCCTCTCATCATGGGAAAATCATTGAACTGATGCAGCCAAGCGGCCCACCATGGTTGTCTCATCGCGGTTGTCGCGGTCGTCACGGTCGTCGCGCTCGGTCGGAGGCCTGGAGATCATGTGTCCCTTTTTTGAAATGATAGAAATTGGATGTTGACCAACCAGTTCATGGCAATAAAATGGGAATAAAATGATGTAAGAATATGTTTCGAATCTTTTCTGGGATGTGGGGGGCCTCCCAAGATAGTTTTCTGTTGACTTATGTGTAAGTCCAATAACTAACTGTTGGAGTCATGGTGGATATATCGTTGGATGGGTGATGCTTTTATATTTGTTTCACCAATTTTAAGTACTGGGAGCCTTCCAGTTATGGGATCTAACCAACATGGGGGATTTCTACCCTCTGGTAAACTAACATAGCTATTGAAAATGGTCATTTATAGTGGATTTTCCCATTAAAAATGGTGATTTTCCATAGCTATGTTAAATTACCAGAGGGTACCAATATTGACGATAGATCATGATTTGTCAATCCCATGAGTTCAGACCATTTCGGGATACCGTTCTTGCGCTATGCGCTGGGTCAGCGATGTCCGAAGCTACCTGCAGTGAGGGGTTCAGTTCAGAATCCCAACCGACTCAGCTCGCAGGAACATAGATATAGATATGACAGAAACATGGGTATCATTGTAACATGTGGAACCGTGGAAACATCAGAAACATCTGCCATCAGGGCCTCATAAATTTACATTAATGTTGATAATCAAAGATATCAATCTGGGTGGTGAAAAAATGGGGCCCTCTACAGTGTTCAAAAACTCTTGGATGGCCTCTCCATCTTCGGATAAAAATTCGATGGTTGAGAAGTACAAACACAGTGGTTAGAAACAAGGGAGTGTACCCATGTGGATCTGCAATACTAGTTACATTTTCATGTTTGCTGGTTAAGTGTTCCAATCATTTATGCGACCTGTGGTTGTCAGGCATTTATACACTGCCAAGAACTACAGTGTTGTGAAAAAAACAGGCATTAAACTTCTTAAACGTGAACAGCAATTTCTGCTGGATTCGGATGACATTGCAGACCCCACGATCCATAATGAGATTTGAAGGGTCATCGATTCCTCCCCGGCGATGAAAAATGTTTTCTGCGGGCGCAGAGACATGGGCGCATGCCTTCATGAAACGTTTTTGAAGCCTGCAGCTTGTGTGACGTAGAGTTCCGAACTGGGTTCCATGGTCACAATTCTTCCGGAAACCGAGTTCGCTGCATCGACCAAAGCGAGGAAAGAAATATATCAGCACATTGCGTAGCGGCGTAGCAATGTAACATGAATCACGGGACTAAAATGAAAGTGTGAAACGCCAAGTTGCGAATCGGAAGCTGCAGAAAGCCATTCAATTTGTTTATCTCAATCCATTTCTATTGTCCAACCTGCAACAGCTCAACTGAGAAGTCTCAAGAACTAAAAACATTCCGAAACAATGGAACCCCTTGCGCTGTACATACCATGCAACACCAAAATTTCTTGATGGAAGCGACCGGCCAGCGCCAACTGCACCGCCGTGGCTTCCACCATCGCCAGAAAATTCCAATGGCCAAGTTCTGCAGAAAATTAATATGGTCCAAACTTTGAGCACAAAAACATCTTGGGTTCGGCCTTTGGACTTCTTGGCTTCACAAGTCCTTTTAAGTGGCTGAAGTGCCACATCTACAATTAATTTGATCACTTAGGGCTTTGCCGAAAGAATCAGATTGAGTATGGCTCAAGAATGTCGTGGTCTCGTCATTTGAGATCCCAAAGCTTCCCAAGCCATCCAATCTTCGCGAAAAAAAAATCTGGGACTCAGGGATTAAGGCCCAATAGGGACCACCAAGCCAAAATGGCAGGCAGCACCTGGCTATATGTCGAGTTCACGTTGGTCAACCACAAGAATTCACATGGCCACCTGGCTAGGAGTTTTAAAAAACAACCGCAAAATCCATATTTTTTGGTATCTATTGGTGGAAAAAAACATGGTGGGGATACCTAAATGTTCCATTCTCCCCCGGAGAAACATGGAAAAATGTTGGGGATAGACCCCATTTTCCGATGCAGTCCCATGGATTTCCGTGGTAGACTGTCCTGGTAGTTGGCTACTTGCTGCAAGAATTTGTGGCCCAGCCAAGAGTTTAAGAGTTTCGTTAGTTTCTATATGTACAATATATATATATATATAATATATAATATATAATATAATATATATATAATATGATATATATATATAATTTATAATATATATATATATATCAAAAAAACAAGAATTCTAAAATCCCCATGCCAGGCTATTTCCATGCATTCAGTGCACTTCGTGTCTAACTGGAGCAGCAGCATTGAGACCTACGCACCACATCAGGGCAACAGCAGGTTCTCTCATCTACCTCCTTGGCGGATAAATTCACTGCAAGGTACTGGTGAATCAAAATTGTCGCAATTTTGGATCCCAACAAACACATCTTCTTTTTGAAAACGCCACTTTTTGCATCAAATCATCCATTTTGGTGATCGACCCCTATCCGGCCCTATCTTCCCAAGGCACCACCACAAAGCCGAAGAGCGCATTGCCCACAAGGCACCACACGAAGTGGCGCTCCAGGCAAATGTCACCTGGGCATTGCCGTGCCATGATGCCCAACGTTGCTGAATCGATGGAATCAGATGGATATGGACCATATGGATTTCCAAAATCCAAAGGAACATCCCCAGTTTTGTTGATCATGATTGAACCACCATTGAACCAGGTGATCTTTGAAACCGACGACTGGGGAACTACTCCATATTGAGATACCCAACTTTTGGTCCCCAGATCGATGAAACGGTGAAACAACACGGGACCCGTGTCAATCTGTCGAGGGACGGGAGATGTTCAGGGCGATGAGAAACGGTGCGTTTTGAAAGGGCAGCAACACGCAGGATGGCATGGCAGAGACCTCACGATTGTGGAGATTGTGGAGAGCCAAGGTGAGCCAATGATGTTGAGCATTCAGAATGTCCAAGACTGTTTTTATCACCGCGTTGCTAATTAAGGCCTGAGATTAAGAAGGATCCCAACCGCTCCGAGGGATTGAAAATATTGAAAGTTGGAAAAGAAAAATTACCACTGTTCAAACTCCTGTGATGTCCACAAATCAATGTCCCCTGCGGAAAAAACAAAAAAAAGTCCTGCTCAAAACGGCAAGTAGGAGTCCACGGAGTTCGGATTGATGGTTAGCAACTTGCTTAGAGACCAAAACACTCGGACATTTCATGGGTTACAGGGTGCATGGTTATGAGACTTCGACCATGGAACCATGGATCCTGTGGATCCTGCGATGCAGAGAAGCAGAAACCATCTATTAGCGAAAGGGAGATGAATCCATGCCGGAGACTCCATATATTAGATGGTATATAGTGTTATATATATATATATACCTATATACCGTTATACAACTATATTGTTCATATATCATAACAATCAGGTATGTATATATATATAGCATCAATACATGTTTTTGGATCCCCTGATCCATCCATGATCCACCGGTCCATCTCCCCCTGGTCCATCACTGGGCTCTCGGACGATCATGCTGCCCAGGCGCGGGTCAATCCCCGCATCTGCGCGGGATTCGCCAGATTCCATGGATTTACCCTCTGGTTATGACATTCACAGTTCGCCATGGAAAATCACCATGCTATTAATAGGTAAACCATCTATTTCTATGGTCATTTTTCAGTAGCTATGTTAAATAACCAGAAGGTAAATTCGAATTGAAAATGATTCACCGAAATTGTCAAGGTGGGGTCTTTAATCACATTACACCGCCGAAATTTCACTTGGAACCCGACTGTTGGGCCATATCCTGTAGCAAAATCATCTTCAGATCCATATTTTTCAACGTCCATCTTGAATGCGCATGGAGTGCAAAAATGCTTTCACCAAGAATGAATCCTGATGAGTCATGTTTCATATATTCTCATGTTTATAATGTTTATATGGCAGTGTGTCAAAACCTTGTACCCCTGGTGAACATCAAAATAGCTGGTAAATGGATGTTCATCCCCCTAAAAATGGTATTAATAGGTATTGACCCATAGCCACATCTCAATTAGCACTGAAAAAACACAACATGATCCCCACCTGAAAGGCCGCGGCTGGGACAGAGTTCAGGGACCAACAGAGCCACGGGCACACAGACGTTGCACAACATCAAGGGCATCCCAGCGATGAACCTCGGCGCAAAAACGGTGCCGGGTGCGCCACGGTGCCGCCTTTTTTACCACCACTGAGTTGGAAAAACTCAGTGAAAAATAACAAGGTACTACGACGAGTCAACAAGTCATGGGAATTCACAGGTATAATTTATTTTCTTTCAAGGAAATAGTGGAGCCTGGTGCATAGTAAGTGGGTATAGGAACTGGCTTAGAACCCCAAACATCATCAGGTTATGTCATGAGGTATACATGAGTTGCTATGCCAATGGGGAACATCCCAGGAAGATTTTCGCAGATAGGGATCTTAAATCAACTAGGTAACTAGGCTGGCAATTTTTTTTCACCGGGGTTTAATCATAGATGTTGGCGGTTTCCCAAGTTTATCCAGCAATCCAAATGGAACCCAGATCCAAAAAACCAATGCCATCGATTCATCACGATTGAGGATAGGTATACAATACAAATATACCGTATTACATATATAGATTTAGATATACCTATACGCATACGTATACATGTACATAATATATAATACATGTATAATAAACCATACAATATAATATATATAATATATAATATAACACTTATATCATAGCGACAAGGCACAGCGCGGCCAATCGCCAGGGTCCCATGGGTCCCACGGACACCGCTGCCTGCGCCGCGTGGGACAGCGTCTTCCCGGCGCGTGGCGCAGCGTTCAGCAGTGGCGCCAGCGCTTCCAGGCTCGCCGTCTGCAGGTGCTCGATGTTTTATAGTTAACCAGCTGCAGATATAAACTTTAGATGTCTTATAAATATATATAATATATATAGTGTAATATTTTATAATATTTTATATAATATAGTATAGTATAGTGATGTCTAATATTTTATAATATTGTATAATATATAGATGTGTTATAAACTTATATATAGATGTTTCAAGATGTATTTGATGATCCATGTTTATAGGTGATCCGTGTTCATAGGTACCATGGGTGATCCATGTTTATACTTGATATAGGGTGTTGTAATATGTTATAACGGTTGAGAAAACTAGGATTTTATATACCTTTTCTGAATCGGGATTAGTATGATAGCCCTTTAACATGAGACATGTTACCAGAAAGTTATATAGTTCATATTTTACAATTGAGCATATTGAGAAAACATCTGCTTTTGAATTTCTGAAGAAAACTGATGGAAAATCAGCAACAATAATAATGAAGGTGCAATGAGAAACAGGGGATTTGTGCAGCCAGCAAAAACGGAAATCGATCACCACTGAAAGTGATGCTGGGAACAAAAAAAATGAGAAAGGGAGGATCTACTAATGATCAAAGACCAGTTGGTCCAGTATATGGTTAGAATGAACGCTTACTGGAAGTTGTTTGCTGGATTTTCCCATTATTTAATTGTGTGGTAATTAGCTTTGCTGTAACCAATTTTCGTGAAAGCATTGGGGTTGGTGCCCACAGTTGTAAGCCGTTAAGAGTATTTACATAAACGCCGAACATGAAGAAAACACAACCCGAGTCACTCGGATGCTTCAGCTACTTAAAGGACTCCAATTGCCAGAAAAGTCTGAATAAATCCGAACATGTAGCTTGCGTTTCTGTACAATGTTCTTTACAACCTCAAAAAGCATCAAGCATGCGACAGTATTGGGAAATCCAAAAGAAACGTTGAAACATGAATCAAAGAGGATACTGAATTATTCCATGTGTTCCAACCTTCGAAATCGATTTCCAAAAGATACGTTGAACCGTGGCCACTTGGCCATTTTCCAATGGATGACCGGCTGCGACTGGGGCACGTAGATCACCACCGGGAAGTTCACTTGCTTCAGCTTTTCAAAGGGAATCCTGAGGAGAGCTCCGTTGGATTCACCGGATGCCCTCATTGGATTCACCGGAGGACCACAGAATGACCACAGAATGACCACATTGCATACCCTCTGGTAATTTGTTACATAGCTATTGAAAATGGTCATAGAAATAGTGAGTTTTCCCATTAAAAATGGTGATTTCCAATAGTTACGTTTGTTTACCAGAGGGTATATGGCATAAATGAGAATGAACTCGCCCATCCTGTCTTGGTGCCAAGCATCAGACCTGTCGCAGGGCAGAAGAGGATCAAGACCGCCACCAAGCTGATTGTGGTGGGATGAATATGGTGCAACACATCCGTTGCCCACATGACCATGGACAGCCCCTGGGCAGTCCAAGTCATAAGGGGTTGAAACATGTTGAAATTGCGAAGTTTCCGAGAAAAAAATCTGGGACCAGTCATTGGACACCTACAACCGCCACACCTGCAACTCGGGGTTGATTCAAATCTGACAATTTTCTGGGCTTCAAAAAAAATCCACTTGATGCTCATTCCATTGTGCCTCAGCATCTCCTCAACAGATTCAATATATCGCTGTTCTGAGTGATACTGTAACTCACATTGGGAAACCGTGGGATACCCTCTGGTAAACATACAAAAAACTATGGAAAATCACCATTTTTTAATGGAAACAATGGGAAAATCAACTATAAATGGCCATTTTCAATAGCTATGTTAGTTTACCAGAGGGTACTTTCCCTTCGCAAACAAGGGCATTCCCAAGGGTCCAAGAAAACTCTTGAGTCAAAGGAACGAAGACAGCCAAAATTGCCCATTCCGACATAGTCATGGGCCCAATCGCCTGATCTCAATCGCTGCGGGGTGACACTCCATGGGATTGAAGTCACAGCATAGTCTACAAGACAGACCCCTCTAGATATACATTGGTTATCATTGGTTCAAGTTGAACCATCCAACCGTCGATATCATAAATCCATCTGTAGTTCTGTATGTTTAGAGCAAATATCAAATATCCTCTGGTAAACCAACATAGCTGTGAAAATGGCTAATTCTTACTAATTGATACATAGATGCATTACCTATGAACCATATTTGGGTTTGTCTGAAAATAGGGTATATTCCCAATTATAGTCATTTAATAGGGATAATGATCAGCAAAACCATTGGGTTTAGGGGTACACTATTTTCAGACACACCCATTTAAACATAATGATTTTCCATAGCGTTCAATGACCAGGCTCCAAATGAATCGATCCATGCGCCTGGTTTGTCAGCGCCTGCGCCTCTGACGCCTCCGCATCACAATCGTATGACAACTCACCTGTCAGGGTCGAAAAAAAATACGTTCGAAAATACTGTGGTTTTTAATTACAGGTCACCATTTTCGATTTTTGGCCAAAATCATCCATATAACCTGTAATGCCATAATGTAAAAATATCTAAAATATTCTAAAATAATTCAAAAAAAACGAATCCAATACAATAATGTGGTAAACCCAATACGGTGGGCCAGAGCCAACTGAGCCTCGGTATTTCCGTTTGTGGGAGACAAATAGCCTCGATAATTTTGTTGATTATTTTGTTGTATTTTGTTAATCATCCAATAGTTTGGTAGTAGTTATCCAATTTTGACCTCATTTTTTTGATTTTTTTGATGGTTCCCATGCATCCTCAGTGCAACAGATCAAGGGCAAGGGCTGCAACTGCTTTTGCGTGGCCAAGATTACGCCAAGAGGAGAGCTGTAGAATTTGAATTCCGGGGTTGAGATTCAGCCGTATAATTTCATGTAATGGCCACGAATGCGTCACTCTTTCCATACCAATTCACTGCCTTTTCGTGCAAGCCTGATGAAATCCACCACAATGGTTCCGAATGGTACAGGCATCAACGAAATGACACATAGTGAGCAAAACCGACCAACTCAGATTCTTCATCAACGGTCAAATCAACCCATTCAAAATCCCATCTATTCCCATCTATGTGGGTGTCAGGCTTCGTTACGAGAAAATAGATGGTTTTAAAGTAGATGGTGTTCAAATGATTGAAAATGTTTGTTTCACCCCATTCCATGTACCATCCCAGTCGCCTGGCTCCCTGCGGGTCAAGCACAGGAGGACCAGGGTGTTCCCCACAATGCTAAGGGTCCAGTAGACAGGAGCCATTCCTTGCTTTGAATTGCGAAGCACGCAGGTCCACCATGAAAAATACCCCAACCATTGGTCAACTGGGAACCAACCGCGCCACCAGAGGCAGCCCAGTGCCATAAGTGCCACGCCTGCCACGCAAAGTGAAGGTCCATGTCTCGAAGTGCCACGCCTGCCATGCAAAGTGAAGGTCCATGTCTCCAAGAGCCACGCCTGCCACGCAAAGTGAAGGTCTATGTCGCCAAGTGCCATGCCTGCCACGCAAAGTGAAGGTCCATATCTCCAAGGGCCACGCCTGCCACGCAAAGTGAAGGTCTGTGTCGCCAAGTCCCATGCCTGCCACGCCAACAGCCGCGGCCACAACGGCGTCAACTGGGAACCAAGGGCGCCACCAGAGGCAGCCCAGTGCCATAAGTGCCACGCCTGCCACGCAAAGTGAATGTCCATGTCTCCAAGAGCCGCGCCTGCCACGCAAAGTGAAGGTCTATGTTGCAGCCGCGGCGACAACGGCGCGTCAACTGGGAACCAAGCGCGCCACCAGAGGCAGCCCAGTGCCATAAGCGACACGCCTGCCACGCAAAGTCCCGCAGCGCCCGCCAGACCCAAGACCAAGTGCCACGCCTGCCACGCCAAGTGAAGGTCGATGTCACCAAGTGCCACGCCACGCAAAGTGAAGGTCGATGTGTGTGAGCAAGTTGTCTGTGGACAAGGTGTGTGTGTGTGTGAGTAAGTTGTGTGTGTGAGGAAGTTGTGTGTGTGTGTGAGGAAGTTGTGTGTGAGTAAGTTGTGTGTCAGTAAGTTGTGTGTCAGTAAGTTGTGTGTGAGCAAGTTGTGTGTCGACAAGGTGTGTATCTGTGTGAGCAAGTTGTGTGTGGACAAGGTGTGTGTGAGCAAGTTGCGTGTGAGCAAGTTGTGTGTGGACAAGGTGGGTGTCTGTGTGAGCAAGTTGTGCATGAGGGAGGCGGCGGGAGGAGGAGGGGGCGGCAGCCGGGAGTGCAAGACCAAAAACAACCCCACGCAAAGATGTGGGGAATAACTGGTTTAAGGAGGGAATGTTGAATACAAACCTTTGGATTTCTCAGCGGTTTGGTATGTTTAGTTTAAGGAAATGTGTTTAATCACAAACCATGGATTTTAGCCCCCATAATATAAAGATGTCCCGCAAAAAATATGTTTAATAAGTTCTAGGATTGTGGGGCCTCAGGGACATGTACAACAGATAAACATGTGGAATCATGTGTATATTATTTATATATATATATTCAACTTGTGCTTACGTGGTGGTTTGGGTTGGTGGTTTGGAAGTCTGGGAATTGATGGTTTTGTAAACTTAGAAAAAACAAAAAATATCAAACCCTGCAAACAATGGAATCGTTGAAAATAAAGAAAACAAATTTAAAACAACAATGATTGCTACCAGATTAGGTTTGTTTTTGAATTGATATTCATCTTGTATCTCGGAAAATGTACACTTATTTAATGTCCAATAATTTCACGTGATTGTTTAATTGATTATTGAATTCTAGTCCATTTTTCTGTACTTGTCTATTTATTTTTGAAATGGGGGAAAGACAGTTTCTTGAAACCGTGTGGTCCTATCCTGTACTCTGACTGATGCAGGTTTCATGGATTTTCCATGGAGCTTCCATGCAGGTTTCATGTTGGTTACATGCTGGGTTTGCAAATTTAGCTTACTGGTGGGTAACCTCCATGACAACTCCCTGGAACCTGCATGGAATCTGCATGGAACCTCCATGGAACCTGCATCAGTCAGAGTGCATGATAAAACCAACAAGTGTAGATAGAGGCACCACCTCCATAACGCACATGGAAACTGCATGAAATTCTACATCAATTCTCCATGGAACCTGCATGGAACCTCCATGAAAACTGCATCAGTTAGAAGGCGCCATGCAACCATCACGTTTAGACACAAGAAACAACGGTTACCTACATGAAACCTCCATGAAACCTACATCAATTCTCCATGGAACCTGCGTGGATACTCCATCAAGGAAGACGCCATACAATCATCAGGTGTAGATACAGGGAACATGTTCGAGTTTTTTTTAATGGAAACTACATGGAAACCATCAGACGCTTTGATGCAAATCGATCGCAAATCGATCGTAACTAAATTGATCGCACAAAAACTGTTATAGCATCTGTGCGTTTTGATGTCGTTTTCACTAGGCCATCTGTCTTTGCTGATGTTTCTTTTGGTTTCTGTACTGGAAAAGTCAAATTCTTCCAGAATTTCTATTTATCCTGAGTGTTCGTTGCTTGGCGGTTTTGATGTTGGCAAGGCCAGGGTTTCAAGTGTGGACTTTGTAATGTGTCATTTTGATGTAGGATTTCGACGTTGTTTTGCGATCATTTTGCGATCCTTTGTCGATCGATTTGACATCGGCCTAAAAACGAATAAGAAGGCCATAAAACAACATCAATATGACATCGACAAGAACCTAAGGCCTGTAGAAAACGGCACTTGCCAATTCATATATTCATATGGTTTGGTGATCATAGAATCCAAGATGACATAAGTGAGTTCATTTCTCTTGGTGGTTTCGTCTTTTAATTAACTTAGTTTGCAATATTATATGTTAGGAACCTCCATCAAGTTGACACCGAGACAGACATAAAACTCCATCAAAATGACATCAAACAAAAATTCACATTTGAAACCTTGCCAAAATCGAAACCACCAAGCAGTGAACACTCAGGATAAATAGAAACTCTGGAAGAAATTGACTTTTCCAGTGCAGAAACAAAAAGGGACATCAACAAAGACAGATGACCTAGTGAAAACGACATCAAAATGCACAGATGCTATGACAGTTTTTGTGCGTTTTTTTACGATCAGTTTACGATCGATTTACGATCGATTTGCGATCAATTTGCGTCAAAGCGTCTGATGGTTTCCAGGTAGTGTCCACTAAAAAAAAAGTCTCTGTTCCCTGTATCTACACCTGGTGCTTGTATGGCGCTTCTTTGATGGAGTATCCATGCAGGTTCCATGGAGAATTGATGTAGGTTTCATGGAGGTTTCATGTAGGTTCCGTTGTTTCTTGTGTCTAAACGTGATGGTTGCATGGCGCCTTCTAACTGATGCAGTTTTCATGGAGGTTCCATGCAAGTTCCATGGAGAATTGATGTAGATTTCATGCAGTTTCCATGTGCGTTATGGAGGTGATGCCTCTATCTACACTTGTTGGTTTTACCATGCACTCTGCCTGATGCAGGTTCCATGGAGGTTCCATGCAGATTCCATGCAGGTTCGAGGGAGTTGCCATGGAGGTTACACACCAGTAAGCTAAATCAGCAAACCCAGCATGTAACCAACATGAAACCTGCATGGAAACTGCATGGAAACTCCATGGAAACTCCATGAAACCTGCATCAGTCAGAGTACTGTACAGGATAGGACCGCAATGGAATTTGTTTCAATAGAAACTGTTTTTTTCTCTGCTTTGCTTTCATGTAGATTATTTAGATAGAATAGATAGGTAAGGTCACTTGGATAGAGTAGGCATATTAGATAGATAAGATAGAAAAGGTAGACTAGGTGGATTAGATAGATTAGATAGATTAATAGACAGACTTGAAAGATTAGAGAGGTTGGATTAGATTAGCTTAGATTAGATTAGATGAGATCAGAGAAGATTAGACTAGTTTGATAGACAAATAGACAAACAAATAAATAGATAGATAGATTATGTAGATATATGAGATTGGTTGATAGATTGATAGATTGATAGATTGATAGATAGATAGATAGACAGACAAACAAATAGATATATTGGATATGATATATTAGATAAGTAAAAAGATAGACAGACAGACTGACAAACAAACAGATAGACAGATACTCAGAAAGATAGATTAGATTAGATTAGATTTAGATTAAGATTAAGATTTAGGATTCAGATTTAGGATTTAGATTTAGGATTTACATTTAGGATTTAGATTTAGGATTTAGAATTAGGATTTAGCATTAGGATTTAGCATTAGGATTTAGCATTAGGATTTAGCATTAGGATTTAGCATTAGGATTTAGCATTGGGATTTAGAATTAGGATTTAGAATTAGGATTTAGAATTAGGATTTAGAATTAGGATTTAGAATTAGGATTTAGCATTAGGATTTAGCATTAGGATTTAGCATTGGGATTTAGAACTAGGATTTAGCATTAGGATTTAGCATTGGGATTTAGCATTAGGATTTAGAATTAGGATTTAGCATTGGGATTTAGAATTAGGATTTAGAATTAGGATTTAGAATTAGGATTTAGAATCAGGATTTAAAATTAGGATTTAGAATTAGGATTTAGAATTAGGATTTAGAATTAGGATTTAGAATTAGGATTTAGAATTAGGATTTAGAATTAGGATTTAGAATTAGGATTTAAAATTAGGATCTAGAATTAGGATTTAGAATTAGGATTTAGAATTAGGATTTAGAATTAGGATTTAAAATTAGGGACTAGAATTAGGGATTAGAATTAGGGATTAGAATTAGGGATTAGAATTAGGGATTAGGATTAGGGATTAGGATTAGGGATTAGGATTAGGGATTAGGATTAGGGATTAGGATTAGGGATTAGGATTAGGGATTAGGATTAGGGATTAGGATTAGGGATTAGGATTAGGATTAGGGATTAGGATTAGGGATTAGGATTAGGGATTAGGATTAGGGATTAGGATTAGGGATTAGGATTAGGGATTGGGGCTTAGGGATTAGGATTAGGGATTAGGGATTAGGGATTAGGGATTAGGGATTAGAATTAGGGATTAGGATTAGGGATTAGGATTAGGGATTAGGATTGGGGATTAGGATTAGGGATTAGGGATTAGGATTAGGATTAGGATTAGGGATTAGGGATTAGGGATTAGGGATTAGGATTGGGGATTAGGATTAGGGATTAGGATTAGGGATTAGGATTGGGGATTAGGATTAGGGATTAGATTAGGATTAGATTAGATTAGATTAGATTAGGATTAGATTAGATTAGGATTGGGATTAGATTAGGATTAGGATTAGGATTAGATTAGGATTAGGATTAGGATTAGATTAGATTAGATTAGGGTTAGATCTGGTTTCTTGATCCCCACGAAAACCACGTTTTCGAGGTGAAGTCACCTGGTCACGACTGTGTTCCAAGCGTTTTTTTAAGCGTTCCAAGCGACTCACAAACCAGAATCCCCACGTGACATCAATGCTGCAATGTTGTAGGGCACTCACTGCAATGATATTTGGAAGTCCGCCCGTCAAGACTGCGGCACCACAATGGTTGGTACCTCGGCGCCGGCGCATCACCTTTCAGAGCTTTGAAGCACCATCTGGGCCCCAAAAGTGATGTATGATGCTTCACCAAAATGGGAAAACCGAAGCCCCATTTCAAGTGATCTTTGTTCCCAGAAAATGGTCAAAAATATCCGGTGAATCTTAATTTCATTGCAGCAAACCCTTGGCTGAATAAAGGCTCGAGTACAAAAAGGAAAATATCCGAAATACCAAATAAATCGAAACTTGGATTGTTATTCACCTCCCAACATGTCAGCCATTCTGGCATCATTTTGGGAACTACAGGCTACCAGGGTGATCCATTCCCGTTTGAAACCAGGCTAGCTTACCCGTTTGAACAGACTTTCAATTAGTAAATAGTTCTTCCACCAGATGCTTAGCCACCAAAGAAACTCATCAAATATCAGCTAAATATTCAAGTTTTATCAAGTTTTACTGTTTAAACAATTTTAAATATGCTTGAAATGGCCTTGATCCCCCAATTTCCATAGCTTTTCACAGCAAAAAAAGCCCGTTGTGGAGCCGCTGAGGTCCTCATGGTGGCATCGTGGCATCGTCAAGGCACTCACCGCCAGCGCAATGAGCACCGCAGAGGATCGGCAGCTCAGGGGTTCCAGTGCCAGCTGATTCACCACGCTGCGGGCGATGGGAACCACCAACTGACACCGCACCACCTGGGGCCCAGTTGGACCTACAAACCCCGATCCGAATGCTGGCCCATAAAAATTTCAACTGCTTTGTACATTTTCATCATTTTTCCCCTGTTACCGTTAAAGTGTAAAGTGTAGAGTGCGGAGTGTCAAGTGAAGAGTGTGGAGTGTAAAGTGCAAAGTGAAGAGTGTGGAGTGTAAAGTGCAAAGTGAAGAGTGCGGAGTGTAAAGTGTAGAGTGTGGAGTGTGGAGTGTAAAGCGTAAAGCGCACAGAGTTAGAGTGTAGAGTGTGGAGTTCAAAGTGTAAAGTGTAGAGTGTGGAGTTTACAGCGTAAAGTGTGAAGTCTAAAGTGTAGAGTGTGGAATGTAAAGTGTAAGGCGTAAGATGGAGTGTGAAGTGTAGAGTGTGGAGTGTAAAGTGTAAAGTGTGGAGTATGGAGTGCAAAATGTGGAGTGTAAAGTGTAAAGTGTGGAATGTAAAGTGTAAGGCGTAAGGTGGAGTGTGAAGTGTAGAGTGTGGAGTGTAAAGTGTAAAGTGTGGAGTATAGAGTATGGAGTGCAAAATGTGTAGTGTAAAGTGTGAAGTGTGGAATGTAAAGTGTAAGGCGTAAGATGGAGTGTGAAGTGTAGAGTGTGGAGTGTAAAGTGTAAAGTGTGGAGTATGGAGTGCAAAATGTGGAGTGTAAAGTGTAAAGTGTGGAATGTAAAGTGTAAGGCGTAAGGTGGAGTGTGAAGTGTAGAGTGCGGAGTGTAAAGTGTAAAGTGTGGAGTATGGAGTATGGAGTGCAAAATGTGGAGTGTAAAGTGTAAAGTGTGGAATGTAAAGTGCGGAGTGTAAAGCGTAGGTATATTGTAGAGTGTGGATTGCGGATGTGGAATGTCAACTGTGCAGTGTAAAGTGTGGAGTGTAGAATGCGGAGTCGTTCAATGTAATAGTGGTGGGTAGAGTGGGGAGTGTCGAGTCTAGAATGGCAAGTTGCAACATCACAAAGTACCGTGCTTTGCCACGCAAAATGGCGCGAAAGACGAAGGCAACATCACACCTCGCGCAGCCGTGCCAATGCGGAAAGCGACAAATGGCACGTTGTCACGGCTTGATGCAGCCCTGGCAATGCGATTCGCAAAAAACGCGCAATTTTGACACGTTATGAAACATGTTAGAATGTCACGAAGTGCCACGCCTGCCACACGAAACGTGGTTACACGACGTTTGAAGCCTCCAAAAGTGACCACTTTTGCAGCAGTCGCTATAAGCACAGCCATAGCGTCGTCATCGCCAACGGTTGCGGACGGTTGCAGACGGTTGCGGATGTGAAAGCGGCGTCGAGCGAACAGGTCCCCATCCCCCGACCCCCAAAGTAAAACGAGAACCCTTCGCTACGCATTCGGGAAAAAGAGCAAAAACATCAATGGGTTATAGTTCTAATATGTTATAATCATTTACAATAAGTTATATAATAATGCGGAAAATATTTCGGAAAATGTATCAACAACGGATTTGTTGGATGTGTGGTGGAATTGTCTTGGATCCATATCTTGATAACGGATCAAGTGGATCAAAGTGGATCAATGATGATCGATGTGGATCAATGTCGTCTATCTCACTTCTGTAGGCATGATGGGTAGACCCAACGGACAAACATCACTCTTTGTGGCATGCTTCTGATCTATCCGCACTGAAAACCTGTTAAGTTCCAATCATTAGAAGCACTAATCATTATGAACCATTCTCAACTATTCTTAGTTAACCATTATTGACAGAAAATAACTTGTGCACACTTCTGGCATCTCTTTTGCACCCGTCAAACATTCGCATCAGCCTGAGATGGAACACAGAGCGCCAGTAGCCCTCCCACCACGTTCCTCAGAAGACAGCAACCCAATAAATGACATGATCGTCCAGTGATCGTCATATGGCTGTGGGTCAAAACCCCACCCTTCTGTTCACACCAAAATAGCTAGGAAATGGATGTCTATCCCCCAAAATATGTTATAATAGGTTTGATGCATCATCACTCTTCTCTCTCTCTCTCTCTCTCTCCCTCTCTCTCCCTCTCTCTCTCGCTCATGTGTCTATGTAACGATCTACTATAGGAAAAAAAAAAAGCACGTTGCTGTGCAAATCTTGAAGGTATACGTAAAGACTCCTTGCCATTGATGATCGCCATCTGCCATCATGTCTTCAAACATCTCCAACTACTCTTCTCCGAGAAGTAAGGTATCCCGATCTTTCACACCCCAAGAATTGCACTTAAGAATCAACGGTATGCTCACGATTTTTCACTGGTTGAGTGTCTAGTCTTGACATACCCGTCATACCTGTCCCGACTTGGACATGGACTATCATGGACTTCGACTCGTCCAAGACGCAAACGTAAAAGAAGCCATGGCCAGGTGGGCTTCCTTTGGCAAAGCACTTGAGCAATTCGCTGGCTGATGCCTCGAATTGCTAAGGAGATTTGACTACAAAATATCCTGGCTTTGTTAAACCGGGAAAATCGCTGGCTGATTCCTTGCAGGAGAATCAAAAATGATGAGATCATCTTTTCCCCACGGATGGTTGCGAAGCGAAATCCACCAGTAAAATGATGTAAAATGGTGACCATCCCGTTGTAATCCCGGTTTTCATTTTTTATAGATTCATATAGTTACCCTCCGGTAAACTAACATAACTATGGAAAATCACCATTTTTCATGGGAAAATCCACTATAAATGGTGATTTTCCATAGTTATGTAAACGTTTACCAGAGGGTAGCTTCATAGTTACCAACTGGTGCAGATGTTTTTCTTCCATTCGCCCAGATACTGGTCTCGGTGAGGGCCAAACTCATGGCCATTCCACAGAAGATCAGCCAAATGCCTGGTGAAATCACGAGCGGCAGACTGCCTGTCGCTTCACTATCCCTTCAGAGGATTTTTGGGGGTACCAGAAAAATGATACTGTGTGAAATTAATATTTAAAAATCCCAAAAAATAATATACTGTATGAAAAAAATATACTGTATTTTTTGTATATCTAGGAAGTTCATTTTCTAATGATCCATGAAAAATGATAGTGTATGAAATATAATATATATATATTAAATGGGAATCCCGATGAAAACCAAACATGAGAAAGCACGGTTTCAAAGAAAACCCATCAAAATAACATTAATGGAACATATATTTGGCTGAATGATCTCGAAACGATGGGGTGGAACCATTTTAAAACCATCCTGAATGGTAAGTGTGCAAAGCATTGCTCTGCAGCAAGTGTGCCAGAAATAAATATCAAAGAATCAACATTGGAAAGGGAAAATAAATTTGGAGACACATGAGCAACTAGATCAACTAGTAAGTTTTAGATGTCGAGGAACATCTAATGATCTCCTGAAGTCTGGGAGAACCACAACGGGAAAACATAGCGATTTCAGCGATTTCAGCTTTTTTTTTTGTGTACTTTACCCTCTGGCAAACGTTTACATAACTATGGAAAATCACCATGTTTCATGGGAAAATCCACTATTTCTATGGTGATTTTCCCATCAGTTTTTTGCCTCCCAGGAATCAACCATCAACTACTCGGACTTCATCCAGATCGCTGGATCCCCATTTCAGGGCGCCTTCGGAAGACATTCCTCTCCAGGCTCCTGCAAAATCCATAGCACCTGACGAGGGAAATATGAAAACCTTGATGTTTGAGACTCAAAAACCAAGAATCTCGTTATATCATGTTATATCATGTTATATCTCGGTATTTTGTAAATGAATCATGTGGTCAATGTGGTGGAGTTTTGGGTCATTGAAAACATGTTCATTCTTGAATTGCAGCTTGAGTGCTTCTTTTTGATCTTTTTGTCCGTTTTTGTTCAGCTATGTCACAAACTTTCTCGAACTCTACCACCAAAACCCATGGTTTTTCCCACATGAGCCGAGCTAAGAACGGGCGCCGGCCTGTGATTGTCAACAGGGCTAAGAACGCCAAGCTCGTGTACTCAATGGGTGTCTTCCCCGGCTGTGCCGACCATCCGAAGATGGCGAAGCAACACAGCCCCTGAAACGGCTGTCGGAGTCGAGCAATAATTCACCCAACATGCCCAACAACGGCACAACCGACGATACAAAACTCTTATGATATGAGACAAGGATCTCTTGGCTGCTGATTTAGAATGTTTGGAGCTTTGAAAATGGGGAGCGACGGTGATAACTTCTTGAGGCCCACCCAGAATCTCAATTCGACCAATCACGCGAGAGAGAGAGAGAGAGAGTCTGAGATTCTCATTCAGAGACATGCTCTGGTAAGCCAATCCACGTTCGGGAAATTCAAGAAGCCCCCAATTCTACAGCAGCTTTGCACCAAGGGTTCAAACGCTTGAGAATGGCGGGGGGCATAGCCTGAGAGCCCCCCCCAGCCACAAACAGGAAGTAACGCGATAATTAGATGAAATTGGAAATATTGGAAATAAAGAAAACTCTAGAATTAGCCAAATTGTCATGATACCTCTCTGCAACGAAGACCTTTATGCTTATATAAATTATATCAATTGATCCCAAGATGTCAACCTGATTCAACCTGAATATCTGACAACAAATCATGGCGCAAGTCATTGCTGCAAAGCAACAATGGCCCGCGCATCCTCCAAGCCCAGGGTCATCGCAAACACCAAGGACACCACTAGACCTGGGTGAAACTGGGTGAAAAACCCAGCCACTTGGCTGTGTTCAAAAGTGCTTTGGATTCCAATGGACAGCTACTTGGATACTAAAAAGATCAAAGTGCCAAACAGTGCCAATATGTTTGAGCAAATGCCAAATCGTGGTTTTCTGCATTATTCCTCGCTCCACTTTTTCCACTTTTTTTGATGGACAAACTCAGTGGATCCACCCGGTGTCACAACTTCTTCACCCAAACGCGCCGAGACACAAACTCCGATCCAGGCCAGAGGAAAAAGGTGTTGGCGGCAAGGAAAACCTGTGGGAGCACCATCTGGGTACGGGTCACGTCATGGTCAAGTCATTGAAAATACCACTTAAGTTGTTGGTTGATACGAAACAAACAAAACAATCACCAGAAACCATTTTTGTCCCCAGGGTTTAATTTTGTTGACCAATGCCCATTCATTCAATATCCGATGCTTCTTGTACTGGAGACTTTATCAAGAAGAGGACTGAGTTGGTGTAGACCATTGATTTTCCTATTGGATATAGCTAAGTTTGATTAAATTTAGGGGGTCTATTACCCATACGTTTGATGATTTAATTCCAAGAAAACTGCTGGTGGTTAAAAACCAACCATAAAAAAGGACATGTCGTTGCGAAAAAGTAACCCATGAGACGCCCAATCATTAAACAAGAGCCACAAAACCTTCCATTCTATGACCGTCATGCCTTGTGGCTAGTTTTATCTCCCCCAACACTCGACTGGTAAAAATTTCCGAAGATGCATCGAATGAAAAAAGGTTCCCCAAGATCACCTGGACATCTGCTCGGTGGACTGGTGGAATCTTCGATCTGCATCGGGCCTTTCTTGGGGCCTTTTTCAGTGAGTTTTGTTGGTGAAATGCCCGGATTTTTTTCGTGGCATCCCATGATTGTCTAGTCTGTTTCTGACTCAAACATCTGTATGCTTGTTGGATTTTGGCATTTTGGGCCATGTTTTTCAGCTCAAATCCTGCAAGTCTTGGGCCAAAATTCATTTTCACCTGAAGTCTGAGCTACAGATACAATGTATCGATGATACCTGGCATCTTCGGTCGCTGAGCCAAAAAAACCCACGGTGACGATTGAAGTTTGATCCATATCTGAAGCAGCGGTTTGCGACTGCAGCTATCAGGCTATGAGTATCAGGATACATCAAGAATCAACACTTTATTGGTGATGGGTCAAAATTAAAGACCTGGGGACCACAGATCTTAGTCTATAGTTAGTAATAACCATCTAGTATTGGGGTACCTAATTTTGACTCATACCCTTATGATCTTTATGCACTTACTGAGTCACAAAAACTCTTGGGATTGAAAGTTACTTTCTCGAACTGAGGTAACTGAGGGACTGCTTCAACTCATCCCAGAAGAAGTTTCTCACTGAAAAGCATCATCAAATCATTTTTAGGGAGACAAATGATAAATATGCATTTTATAGTGATTTAATGGGATTTTATAGTGATTTAATGGGATTTTATAGTGATTTAATGGGATTTTATAGTGATTTAATGGGATATAAATGGGATATACCCTCTGGTAAACATACAAAAAGCTATTGAAAATGGCCCAGTCGAAATAGTGAGTTTTCCCATTATATAAAAATGGTGATTTTCCAGTTCGCTATGTAAACGTTTACCAGAGGGTACCTGAATATACCTGAAACTACCAACTGCTTCAAAGGTCGTATCATGTTTCACCCCCATCATTCCCAAATCTTGACATCAAAATCCTGGGTGCCAACTTTAACGCTCTTCAGCATCCCGTTGTCATATCATTTTTTCGTATGGCTCAAGAATGGTCAAACATATATGATATACATATATATAATCAATTATAACATATATATAATTATATATATATATACATTCATTTAATATGAGGGCATTATGGGATGGACATTCATAAAACAGACTTGTCACCTTGCCTTAATCAAGCACAGAAATCCATGACATTCCATGGGACCCGGCACCACTGCCTGTTAAGGAGGCTGCCAGTGCTACTGCTGCGGCCCACGCCTGGCGACAATCGAATTACAAAATCTGTAATCGAACCCACCAACATTCAAAAAGCATAATCATCCAATCATCAAAAATCATCAAAAATATGTCAATCATATTTCAACAAAATTCCCCATACAAAAAAATAGGAAGAGTCATGATTCGATTTAAAATTCAAATCTCCTCCCCCCATCCCATCCCATCCCATCCCATCCCATCCGTGCCTTTGTAGCAGATCTGTTCCACCACACCATCGCGGCGGCTGGAGCTACGCTGCGCGCGATCCTTGAAGACGGCATGCAACTGCCGCGCCGGGCGAGGCGATGGCACTGCGGGGCTGATGCAAATCGCCTGGTTCAGCGCTGGAGCAGCGACGTTGCTGGAAATCTACAGGAAACCCATGGGTTTTATGGCTTTGTAATGGTTTTTACCTATGAAAAAAAAGGGAAGTCCTGCAAAAAAGTCTTGAAAATTCCTTCCTGAATCAGAAATGTTAGATATGTTAGCTTCATTTTTGGGGATGATTTCCTCAATCCCAACCATCATTTGTGGCACCGAGGTCCTCATAATTTGCCGGAAAACCACTGTGGTAAAGTTTTTATATATGGGTAACGAATGGTGATGATGGATACCTCTTCACAGTCATATGATATATTTTTTCAGTGAGAAAAATTCATGGCATGAAAAAATCTTTGATGCCGAAAATGGTGCTCCCATGTACTCCCTGTGACTCCCTTTTTTTCTCAGAGATCCTGGTGAATCCTGGTGAATCCTGGTGAAGCTCCCCCAGTCGTATTTGGGGTGATGGGTGATGGAGATATGTCAGGATCCAAATGATCCAAATGATCCAGTTCTGTCCATCCAGTTCTGCATTGACGAATACGCCAGCTTGTCATTTCGAAAGCATCAAAAAAAGGGGAGTGTTGACTCATTGGCAGATTTGCAGAGATTTCGAGAGTCTGTTGTTGCAATATAAACCTCCTAAGGCCTGGTGAAATACATTTAAATACATTGAAAAGACATTGGTTTTCCGTAGTGTAAATTTGTAAATTTACATTTTGACATTTATTTACAAGTCATGAAAAAAAAGGTCATGTAGTACATTGTAGTACATATTTCATGTAACCATCAGCTGGCTCCGACATGGGAAGGCCTCATCAGGAGTGGCATCGCGCGGTAGGGTGCCGCAGCCAAAGAGACATCCCCAGGTGCGTGACCTGGCATCAATTCGATGGTTTTTCAGATGGCGATTTAAGAAACACCACTTGAAGCTGGAATAAAATATCAAATATCTATGTATGTATATATATATATGTATGTATCTATATATATATATATGTTCATTGTATCAACAGTTCTTGTGAAATGTTTGCTGGGATTCTTTGATTGAATCAACATTGGTGAGATATGTTTTGTTGGTGAAATGCATCAAAAATCTGCAGCGATTTCAGGCTGGGAGGATGTCCAGCCAACTCGGCGAGTCTCTGCTGTCTGTTCTCTGCTGTCTGATGGACCTAACTATGGTTTATGGTAGATATAACTATAGTTCATGGGGATTATTTCATGGTTTATAAACCAACGTTTACATCACTGGGGGGCCCCATCCCATGGGGCCTGTGCTGTGTGATGGACCTCGAAAGGTTGTGAAAAATCCGATACTTGCCACCATCCATTGGTGTCCATTGACATCCATTGCATGAGAAACGACCGCACCTCTTGCGCTGACGTGCCCTCCCTCGAGATGGCCACTCTCCGGAATGCTGCCTGCCATGGCGAGATGTCCGGAATGAAGAAAGAATGGTTTTGGAATCGAATCACGGTTGATAAGTTGATACTAAGTTGATACCTTGGATATCTATGGATATCTGTGATCTTCCTGCCTTGGATTGATACATGAATATACTGAATATACATGATACTTAGATACTAAGTTCATCTAAGTTCTAAAAGTTCTACGTATCTTTTCCGATTTTTTGATCGCCAAAAAAAATCGCCATCACATCCGTCACTTCGGACCTGGAGAGCATGGAGGGTGGAGACCATCCCTCTGCCAATGCCAGGGGCGTATTCCCACTGCCACTTTGGCTCTTGGCCCTCCTGACGTGACGACGTGACCCAAAAACCAAAAAAAAAAAACATAAAATCACTGGAATTGGCACATCTTTCTTCTGCAACACAAATAAAGACCAAAAAATGACACTGACTCTGTTTCATTCTGTGCCGCAGTGCCTTCGAAATATCTACAATTCCAAAATGATGCAGAGATACGGTGGTGTGTTTTGGATGTTTTGGGAGCATCTTTCGAAGTTTTTAGGTGGCCTCTTAAAAAGTCGCTGCAGCCGGCGAGAGGTTTCCGACGGCGCCGTCCATGTGAGCATCTGCCTGCACAAAAAGCCACGGGGGCGCCGTATGCCTTGTTCAGCATATGAAACAGGCAACTAATGTGTAGAATTCGTAGAATGTGTTTGTTTCAAAAAAAGAAACCATGTATCTATCCATACCTATAGTTTTATCATGTGACTGTTCTAGCCCTAAAAATAAGACCTTATGGCTACTATTGGGTCTGCCACATTACGAAGCCACCACCCTAAAACCTGTGACCCGTGATGCAACCTGGATGTGGCGTGTTCCCCTTTCCGTACCCCTTCGGAGTGTCAGGTCCAATGACGAAACTTTGAGGCGAAGGGTAGCCGCGCCAGGATGCCGGCTTGCAACAACGACAACTCGGTGCCCTTTCGCCTGTGCCGCGCTTCAGCACCAATAAGGCATTCGACGAGACCTGAACTACCTAGGAGCTTCAAAGTCCTTGCGAGGTTTGAAGTTTTTGAATTCGACGAGAGATACCTATCCTGGACTGATAGCCAACTCGCCAACTCTCTTTGGGTCTTTGGCTGAAATCTGCTGTTTTTGCTGTGAAGATGGGCGTCCCAGGCAGACCAGCCCCTATCGAAAAAAAACCGCACCGGAGCCAAAAAATGCCACGGAAATGACTCTTGACACAATGACTGGCCAGGAGAGATTTCGCAACGTGGGTTGGAACTGCTCCATTCCGCAAGACCAGGTCCAGTGTGCTGAAAGCAGACAGCAGGTTAGCTCTTGGTGATGAAAATATGTTGGGTTTCTCCCCAAGACATATCACCCAAATGGTCGTTGGGTGGGTCCAAGATTGCTAAATTCCCCAGACAACAGCAATACAATCTCCGAGAAACAGCCATCATTGCTGAAGAAAGCCGCTGATTTTTCTTCTCTGCTTTGAGGACATATTATTCTCCTTTAGCCCTTGACACTTCCGAAATCCGATCCATCCGATCCAGTCTCACGACGAAACCAAAAAGCCAATGTCGAGGCTTGTGTTCGCGACGGAGACGCCTAGATTTAAAAGATTGGTTCAAACGTGGGTTTGAAGAAACCCAATCCCGTCGAGGCACTCAAACTCCAAAAAATTGATCAATAAAATGGATCAAAAAACACCAAAGACGATCATCTTTTCATCAATTTCCATATGTTCCATGGAATTCACCTCACCAATGCGAAAACATCAAAAAACACATATAATATGGTATAATATGGTACATATGTGGTATATAATATGGTACTATACTATGCATTACATACACTACCCATATATGGACCATGGCAAAGATTCGCATTCCCAGTGCCTCAACCAGATCCGAAGACCTTCACCTCAGCAGAAGACTCGACTCCTGGCTCCTCTAAAAAAACGATTGCTTCCAATGAAAATGGTGCACCGTGCGACCCCAAAGTTTGTCCAAATCGGCCCGAACAACTTATATATATATACACAATTATATACAGATATGATCATATATGTATATAATTATGTATATATATATATATTTGGTATCAAACCAACCACTTATTTGGATGAATAGCTTTGCCTGATTTCCAATAATCTTCGTGTCATGTTCATCCAAACGTCTCCATATGGACGACCGGTTAAGTTCACATCAGGGGACCCAAGTTTCCCCTTCTCATTGGTTGTTTGGAAAAATTGAAGGTATTCAGCATCATGAAGCTAACTTAGAACTTAGAATGATATAAATGATATATCTAGAATATTTCTAGAATGGTTTTTGTCATCGCTACATCAAAAAAACAACACAAAAATCGGTCAACATCCCCATGAATTTGCAGATCACATCACCACTTAATTTCTTGGTAAATCTCCCACTGCCACGGGCTGGTCCTGGCGAAATCACGAAGCTTCTTGCAGCATCTGTCTGCATTCTTCACATCCTCCATGCGTCGCTGGCGCAAAAGGCGTCGTTTTGTTTTGCGCTTGTGACTCGGAAGATTTTTTTGTCACGTGTGGGATGACCTCTGAGCGCGAAGTGATATGTACCCTCTGGTAATTTAACATAGCCATGAAAATGACCGTTTTTCATGGGAAAACTCACTATAAATTGCCATTTTCAATAGCTATGTTAAATTGCCAGAGGGTATGTAATGAGTTGACTGTTGACTGTAACTTGCCCAATCAATGGGGGCTGCTATGAGAGCCAACTTCGTGGATGATTTCCAACTGATGTCATGTGGTAAACTTTCTAAACATCAAAAGATCATGAAAACAATCCCAATGATTGACCATGACTGGAGGTCACTTTGCATCATCCCAAATCAGTGTATACAGTGTATACCATGGTGTGCCCGATTTCGTGAAACCCAATCTGGGGATATGTCGGGATACTTGCTGATTGAATTTACCACATTTTGAAGTTCTATCAGCAGGGGATCTTCTAAAACAAGGTGCCGGGCATTTGAGGGGGCCCTCGCTGTTGTCACTTTTCAAACATTTTACAGGGGGGACCACAAAACGCTGAAAAACGAAACTTTAGCATCAGTCGCATTTTCATCATCATCATCATCATCATAATCATCATCACCATCATCATAATCATCATCACCATCATCATCACCATCACAAGTATCTGTACAGGCAAGTGCATGAGAACGTACAGTAGCGTAGCATGACGTATGTGCGCAAATGCATGAGAACGTACAGTAGCGTAGCATGACGTATGTGTGCAAGTGCATGAGAACGTATAGCAAATGACGCTATCATCCCATCCCCCCCCCCCCCCCCCCCCCCCACCCCACCCCTCCCCACCCCCCCCCCCCCCCCCCCCCCACCCCCCTCGTCTATCATGTTGTTTTTTGTGTAATGTTTGAAAAGTGACAACAGCGAGGGCCCCCTCAAATGCCCGGCACCTAAAACAAGTCCTGAAATCTCCATCTTCTCCATTCTTCTCGTGAAATTCTGGGTGTTTTTTTTTAAGAAAAAAACTCTGCGGGAAACTGGGAAACTGTGCGCTGGCTTTACCTCCTATAAATGGTGCTTTCCCATGGTTTCCCATGGTTTCCTGCAGCGCTAGGTCTAGCCATCTGGGATCATCTGGGAACTGGGCTCCTGTTTCACCGCCACGCAGCGAGAGCTCGTAGGCTGTGTAGCCCCCCTCATTCTTGACCTGCGATGCGTAGGCAGTGGTTCTAACGGTGGTAACGGTGAAATCTCAAAGAAAGCCTGCAGAAAATGCGGCTTGGAACCTCCAAGCCAAGTCTTGAAATGTCTTGAAGGCGGAGTTGGATAGCTTTGGAATTCCTAAAAATCAGGACTCTTGTAAGGTCGAAAATTATGAATTCGGCTTGGATTTGGTGGCCAATGTCCCAATGTGAAACATTCTCCAAGTTGGTGGCCAACGTTCGGAGTTGTAATATGTTATAATTCTGGTGATGCAATCCCAACCAATCCAGCCAAATGGATGCACTATGGGGGGCTCTTTTGGCCATGGCATTCATGGCATTGATATGTTGCGATGCTGAACCACGGCAGTTCCTGGTGGGTCACCATGGTTGTCACTTGAATTCATAGTACAACAGCCATGGGAAACCTAAGCAGTGACTCATTGAGCAGGAAAGGTTTGCAGTTGAAGTGTTGCTGTGTTGCAATCGAAATTGAGATTCCATCTCATGGGCCTGTTGCAACCGCACAGCTTTCGCTGAAGGAACTTCAGCCCAGAGAACAAATGATGTCAAGGCCGAGGGAGAGAGAGAGAGAGAGCGTTACAATCGACCGATCTTTTGGTCAAAATCCTAATGTTGGAAACCCAATAATTAACGTTAATTAACCATCTCCATCACTTGCCAGAAATAGGTGGGATTGAAATGATTGAAAACATCCAAAATCAAAGGTTTATTGGGCTACCACATTGCTCCACTTTATCAGACTTGCTGGTAGATCTCCCTGCATAGCATGACCTTGGGGTCAGCACCCGAATCCAGCAGAAGCTTCACCTGAGGGGCCGGGAAAGAATTCCGCAGGAAAATCTGCAAGAAACATGAAGAAACCATGGCTACTAGCACCAAACATGGGGGCGTCCCTGCGAATTTTCCCTAATAGATATACCTGCAGGATCATGCTTTGGATCAGAATGTGATCTTTTGCTTCCTGTCGTAACTGGTGAGGAAACAGTCAGGTAGTTACTTAGTTGATGGTAGTTGTAACCACCAACGAGGAGTGTAAGTTGTCTTCGGTAGATTGGTGCATGGTAGCTACATCCCCATTTAAGACATGATAGCATATGTGGAATAAACCGAGGCAAACCCATCATTTCTATTCATGTCTGATTATATATATGTCGTCAAATTCTTGGAGCTGTTCGCGAATGTCCAGGGGCCAACCAGGTGTGTTTCCAGCATCTTTCCAGGCACCATATCAGCAATGCCGTTGGACGCTGCTGACATTAGCGGAGTTCGCCTGAAGGACCATGCAGTGGAGTTCGAAAACCAAGCGGCCGCCCATTGAAATATAGTGTGTTGGTATTATAGTCTGTAGTATGTGCAATAAACCTTGGGCAAAAAAACACACTAAAGCAAACAATGATGGATATCAGAGGGCGTCCAACAACAAAGGTCAAAACAGAAAGGCCAACGCCAAATATGTATTGCTTCTCAAATTTGTGACAGTTGGGAAAATCACCATGGGATTTCCGTCATTCTATGTCCTTGCTGGCGACTCATGTTTCCTGTAAAAAAAAAGGTGGAGAGTTGCTAAAATGCTAAAAGGGAAGCAGCCAATCAGTGCCTGTTGATTCCAAGTCGTCCCAAAGATGCCATAGAATTCAATTGAAAATTCCCGAATATGGCTACACACACTCATATACCCACAAACAACGTGAGGCTTGCCCTCCAGTAAAAGGAACATCGATGTGAAAAAAAACATTATGCTTTCCTCGGAAATCATTCATTGTGGTTTTTCCATACCTAGGGGAGATTTGCTCGAGGGTATATCCCACTAATTATCCAAGAATATTCCAATTGCTGTCATGAGATTTGATATTCCAATTCTACCATATTATCATATATTATCCCATAAATATCCCAATTTATCCCATAAATATATCCGTAAATATCCCAAGAATTCTTGAAGTTTCCAGATTTTCCTCTCTTAGTTAGCCTGTTTTTTTCATCCGTTGCGGTGCTTCGTGCCGTCTGTTCGTCTGTTCGTACCGAGCAGCCCAGATTTGCTGGGGATGTTCATGTCAGCTCCACCCTCAATCAAGGCCTTGGCCGCCTGTGGATGGGCCAGCGAAATCCCATCAACCACCAATCAATTTTGGATGGTTGAAACATGTTGAAACCCGAGCTAAAGCCTATAAATAATGGGATGTTTACCATCTATCTATTGGAAAATATGATTATTTGATGATACCCTCTGGTAAACATACAAAAAGCTGTTGAAAATTGCCATAGAAATAGTGGATTTAGCCACTAATAGCATGGTGATTTTCAACAGCTTTTTGTATGTTTACCAGAGGGTAAAGATAGGATGGCTGGAAAATCAGGGCGATCACTGGCTGCAATTGATGCATTTGGCACGCATAGAACTCGAGAACTTAACAGCATCTGACATCTGACAGTCGATTGGTGTCACTCGGCTTGAGCCACCTTCACTTTGTCCGCACGCACGGCATATCGCAAAGCAGTCCAGCCGTAGAGGTCCTTGCGAACACGCATGCTATTGATTGACGGTCCGGGGTCAATAGACATCAATCCCCAAAAAAAAAACGAAATTGGATCATCTGTTTGATGCCATCCATGGTAGTGATGTTTGTTAAATCCCCATGGAATTCGCTGAAAATCCACAGAAAAATCCCAAAACGAGTCAGTGTGAACCGTCGGCCAAAACACGACGGTAGATGGTAACATGGTCCTGGGCATCCAGGTTGGCACCATTCTTAATGTATCCCTTCACTTCCTGGCGATGGGTGAGATTCTCTATGGGATTCTGTTGATTCTGGTGGGTGGGGAAGGTTTTAATATGTTTTAATCATTTAAATCCAGGATGTGATCTCAATGAATGCTACAACCTGTTTCCTGAGTCTAGCTCTGAATCTACAGATATCTGCAGCCCTTCCTCCTAGCCTTGACGTTCTGATGCCACATGATCGAAATTCTGAGAGGACACATATGGCAATTCCAGTTGGATGCTGCAAAAACCATTGCAAAAACCATATCATTTCTGTCAAGGCTAGTCGGATCCACATGGCTTTTTCGGTAGCCCCCCGGCCCCCCGGCTACCTTCAGCCAGTGTTCAAAACCCAGTCGGATTCCATGGATTCCATAGTCATTGGATTGGTTTAAGGGAACATTTTACAGGGAAACCATCGATTTTCCCATGGAAAATATGGGGCTTAAACCAGTAAATTTTCCCGTGAAAACCAATCCATTGAGCCATTTGTTCAGCCTCTACGTCGCCATTGTGGGCAGCCATCATCAGCGGCGTACTGGGCAGTGTCACGGGTCTGCTAAAGATGAGCTATGGCTAAGCAGATGAATAGCTTACCCCCTGCGGACAGCAACTCAGATGATTTTAGGTTAATTACGGCTTATGGTTAATTACTACAGTGACTCATTGAGATTCTTCGCCAGGGGTGACAGGGCAGCAATATATAATGTATAAAATGGCTGTAAGGCATCAATTCGTCAAAAAAACTCTGACCACTCTGACCCCGTCGAAATAGCGCAAATGTTCGAACCGGGGTTGGTGAATCGGAATACATCCTGCATGCCTTCTTTTCCGCAAATATACAGTAATTTCAGGTCAAGGGGGCATGCTGAAAATGTCATCATCAGAGAGGATTGTTCCTCAAAAGTACATCTGCGCTCAATCTGCAAAGATTTCCTGCTAGCGTCTCATTGGCTGCGCTTGCCAATCTATGTTGATGTCTCACTCAGTTTGCTGTCCTGTTGATCCAACGATTCTGGGAGCCAAATTCTGGTTGGCCATACTTGTTCTATGATATCACCATCATATCATCATATCATTATCATCATATTCCAGCATATTCCTATTTAGATCTATTTACCATCTGGTTATGACTAACAGTTCGCCATGGAAAGATCCACCCATGCTATTAATAGGTAAACCATCTATTTCGATAAATGGATATAAATGGGCCATCATTTTCCATGGCGAACTGTTAGTCATAACCAGAGGGTATATCCCATTAATATCCCATTGAATCACTATAAAATCCCATTAAACCACTATAAATCCACTAAATTTCGATCCACTAAATTTTGATCCCAAAAAAATCGACGCTGGGAAGCCCACGTGCCACCATCACCCAGGGCTCCACTGTCATCGAAGCCCAGGGATGCCCGGGCCACGGGGCTTGCACCTACGATGGTTTTTCGGATGCTACCCATCCAGTCATAGCTGGTGCTGGGCTGGTGCTGGGCTGGTGCTGATTCCCCCAGTATGGAAAGATTTCATAGCGATCCCAGCCACGACCAAAAATCCCCATGTGGAACTTATGTGGAACTTGAAGAAACGTCAGGTTTAATGAAAATGTGTTGCATCAGGCGTTAAGCCAACAAGATATGAGGCTAAGCAACAAAAATCAGGATTGACACCAGGATTTAACCGGCCCCGGTCTTTGCGTTGCATCTTTGAATTCACAGTGATACCCAAAATAAGGATGCCAAAAAGCAAGACATAGGTCGCAAAACACAAACATTGTCAGCTCATGTCAGCTCATGTCAGCTCTTGTCCATTTCCACTACACTAACAATACAAATTGAGAAGGGCGAAGAAGCGAAGAAGCGAAGAAGGCAAAGTGAAGTCACGAAGATTTTTGCAGCAACTCCCTACTCTCTGGAAGCTTGAAATGGCTATGAGTCCAATCCATGTGCCCCAACAGTTGGCCCAACAGTTGGTCAGAATGTCATTATGTGTCATTTGTTGGCCAAACAGAGTAGCTGATTTTGTCTTTGGATGATCTCAGTTACTCGGATTTCTGAGCTCCTGGGACTCCCGGCCCCTCGAAGTGGGCACAACAAAAAGCTGCTGCCACCTGGGACCATCTGGGACGCACTCGAAAAGTTTCTGGACAAATTGTGCAAATGTTTGCAGCGAATTCTGAAAGGCCTTGGATCACTGTGAAATTGGACTAATAAGTCTCTATAAGTGACAGTCTATAAGTCTATAAGAACTGATAAGTCTATAAGTCTATAACTGATAAGTTCCAACTGATAAGTTCTGATAAGTCTATCAGTCTCCAGTTCTGACAAAGTTCCACCACAGACCCGATGAAGAATCGCGTGCGACACAGGACGGCATTTTTGGCCTCGGCCTCTCGGCCTCGACATGCCTCGACATGCCTCGACATGCCTCGAGTTCGGATCGGGGCTCCCGACGCAATGAATCCTAGGAGCAGGACCTCGGACACCCGGTGCCAAGCCGACAACGATTGGTTTCTGGCTTTACCAAGTTTACCACCTCTTCGAACATGTTTTACCATTTTTGGTGACAAGGATCATTTTTTTCTACGAATAAAATTGGTACCAAGCAATTTGACGTTAGATGATTTGGGAATTGGTCGAAAAATCTGGTACCAATGGACCTGCGAATTCATTTAAGTCAGGTGCGTGTGTTTCAACATGTTTCAAGTATCCAATCGTGGAAGGTCGATAACTATTGGCCTATATCCATGTAGGGGTTGGCATGATCAGTCTTCGGCCATGGTACTGATTCATATTGATTCATACTGTATATACTGCACATTGTATCACGGTGAATGTCCATTCATCTCATTACCATTGGCCATAAGCTAATGCCTTAAGAAGCTATTGCCATTGACGGGTCTGGGGTTTCGAACCATGGCTGCGACAATCTTCCCATGATGCACGGAAAGAGTCTCACTTCGATATTGTATCCGAAGACTTGAAAATTGAAGATAGAAATAGACACCGCCGACCATCGACCATGAAAACAGGTTCAATCATCATCATCATCATCATCATCATCATCATCATCATGCCCAATTGCTTGTGATGTCATGTGATGTCTGATTTCACATATCCAAACATATCAAAACCCTGCATGTCTAGCATACTAATGCGACAATCAGTAGGTCGAGCGGTTTTACCCTAGTGATCTGACGCTTTCTCCCCCTGAGCCACCCTGCACCGGTCACACCTCGGCGCCGGCGAAAGTGAAAGAAAGTAAACAGCCTGACTCGGTCACAAGTAACATAATTAACAAAAATACACCAAGTATATCCAAGTATATCCAAGTATATCCAAGTATACTATAATAACTTGGCTAGAAGTTGTGAAATGTTGTGAAACATCTAACGACCAACATCACACGTAGACCGTAGATCACCTTTGGTGTGTTTCCAACCAAAGACCGTTGCGAACCTGTCATTGGAGCGGCTACCAGGTCAGGGGACACTTGGGACCCGGACGTCTTTGAGACGCCCTTGGCTCGGCGATAGGAATTTTAGCTGGAAAATGTCACTCTTGTTTGGCCGGTTTCGATCTGAAGGCAGCTGCCTGGTAAAATCCATGTAAAATGAGAGGTTGAAGCTCTATGACTCAATAATGACCATCAGCCAGCAGGACTTGGCTGTACCAGTGCTGTTCATATGACGTGGGGTGGAACCAGCCCACAGCATGTGGGTTATATCCAATCAGCCGTGTTGGCGCACGAAGCACCCACCGTTCCCAATTTTTATCAGATTCACAGTGGCTAAACCCGGGAACTGTTTCTGGTCAGGCTCCAAAGGGTCTCTTGTGGTTGGCGTAGGAGAAGAAAGGCTTTGCAAGTGAGCATCTTTCTTGCCAACAAAGTCTTTGAAAAGATGCGAACAATTTCAGACAGATCTGTCTGGGTAAAGGACATGAAACATATGAAACAGAAGTAGGGCTTAGTAAGGAAATCATGTAGGAAGCCTTCATTCCCTGTGGAAACGAGTGGCTCGAGGCAAAGACTATTCCACAACCTCTCCACTGAGACTCTGGCATCCTTCAGGGCGTTTTCACGACGAATGACACCGAAACTTCACCGCTGTTGAAACTTGACCGCGGAAGACAGGTGCTGAATAGATTGAATCAGAATCCAGAGCCGCAACCATAGAAACACCCCAAATCCCTCCATCGAAAAGCATGCAGCTGGGAGTGATTTTCAAACTGCCAAAATCAACAACATTAGATGCATCTATTTGCAGATGTCAATGCGTCTAGGCTGGAGCATTGCGGCGAGCCCTTTTCGAGGCTAAGCCGGCTGTCTCCCCGCGGCTTGTTCGGGCTGAGTTCCTGTCAGAGGTTCACTCACCGTATTTTTGACAGATACAAACGCCCGCAAAAGTTGGTTCCCTTAAAGTTGATGTAATGTGATTATTTTTGTGTACACAAAATGTCCGTCCTGATGCCTTGGTGAACCACATGAACCACTGTCTGCAGTCATCATAGTCATAGTATGAACAAAAACAGGATGTGAAAGTTTATCATTTGATTCTTCAAGAAGTGTTGAATGTAAATGCTGATCCAGTCTCTGCAGTTTAACTCTCCGTTTTGTCGAATGAGCGGTTGCCAAAACCTATCTCCAGAGTGTTCTTATTGACTTCTCTTTCAACATTTCTTTCGCTACACTTTTGCCAAGGTATGCACGTGTTTGAAAAGCACTTTCGCGAGCTTTGGCGGCGAGACTCTTTTTGCCAAAAATTGTCTCTTTCGCAAGCTTTGACAAACAAAAATCTGCGTACAGTAAGAACCTTTGCGAATCTTTCTCGCTTGTCGTTTGAGCTCTCGCTTCATACGATCGCTTGGGGGATTGGGGGATTCAGACACTGTTCACATGTTCAACCACCTTACGGGACCTGTTCGTCCATTCGGTGCATCAAATGTGTCACAAAGGAACTCGCAAATCTAGAGTTCCACAGGCTGACATCCAAATTATATGCATAGGATCCCAACACATACAAGCCTTGGGTTACAGTAAGTAAACCCCATATTTATCCATATTTGCCAATGTGTTTCTTGTCTGGGCAATTCAGTGAATCTCACAAAGTTGCGCAGGTAAAGCAACCCAGCAGCCAGCATGAAGAAGTGCTTTCAAAACTTTACAAATACCGTGACATTGGAATCAGAATGCGTCGGCTTGTATGCTGGAATCAGAATGATCCTGCCACCATTGGGTAGCAATCACATCTAAGATCCCACGGCTGGTGCTTCATTCATTAAGACTGCGGTATAAATCCCTGCTGCAATTGTTTACAACTGATTCCTGCTGGAAACATAATTTGATTCGTCAACAGCTGCTGCCTAGTGCACTGCAAACAAATCCAAGTGCCTGACATGACTTGAGGCAAATATTCAAACAGAGCGAAAACATGCGAAAACAATGTATGGACTGTGGGTTCATTTGGGGGCATATGCAAGATGTATTGCTTTGTGGGTGATGTGGACTGATTTGTATCAACCCACAAATAGCCAGGAATGCCAGCAAATTGTGGATACAAAGCCCAGCAAAGTGAACATGGATTGCAAATACCTCCAGAAATCATCTGAGGGCTGCGGTGAAAGACACATCGACGCATCAAGGGATGAAGATGATGAAGCAGCATCTGTTGTCAAAGGACGCTGCAGCATGTATCGCGGCCACCTCACGACACATCAATCGTCATGAACGACATGAACGTCATGAACGTCAAGAACGTCATGGAAACTGCAGCAGTTTTCCAGGGTCAGGATCCAGTAGGCTGAGTTTCGAGTTCGTGAACCATCTCTACCCAAAAAGCAAAGCACCGCATTCAGCGAATCACGAAATTGCCAAAATGAAAGGGAGCGGAAGAGTAATTTTTTTGTCCTCAGCCGCAGAGCTCCCACCACCTTAACCAACTTGGTTCTGCAGGCAAATATGGTCGCAAGGTTCTGTACAGTTGCGGCAGATGTTGTTTGCAAGGCTCTTTGGAAGTTAAGAATTGAAGTGCCCCAGCCCAAAGAGACGAGAAAACTGGATACAGCGAACATTGCAAAACCATCGATCGTATTGACGCATCGCAAAAAAACATAGAAGAATATGATACTAGCTCGGAGTTCGATGGGCTAAGTAAAGGGGCTCAAAACCAAAGAACGCTGAAGATAAATGGATGGCTCTCAGAACAGTTCATCATCATCAAGTTCGCCCAACTTCAAGACCTCTGGTCGTTTTCGACATGGAGTGGCCACTTCGCTGATGACATCCCAATCCTGGCAGCCAACCCTTTCAAAGTCTGGGCCCCGGTCTGGGAGTCGCCCTCCTTCAAGCATAAACCAAATAGGTCAAAGTCGGTCAAAGTAGGTCAAAATAGGTCAAAATAAAGGCCATCATCCAATGGTCGTTGATTGAAAAACGCGATTTTAAAACCATTCATGATCCATATATGTTTCGACGGTATCCCCTATATGTTGCTTCGTATTCCGTTTGCGGGGACCCACGCACTGCGCTTTCGCGCCTCACTCCCATGTGAAGAAGGCGGTGGCTTGAGACTTTCCATCCGTTGCCGGAGTTCGTCCTGCAAAGGCTGCATTTCCTGCGAGAAGAACTTGGAATCTTCAATCGCCTGGAGGATTTCATTCTGCAAACTGCTCAAAAGCCGCTTGCATTCCTCCTCATCATCCTCGTCCAAGAATTCTTTGAAACGCTCACAGAGCAGCTCGTGCTGTTTCATGGCACCCTCCATGCACGCGAACATGCAGTGATCCTCCATGCCCTGTGCCCCCAGCAACTGCGGGAAGGCCTGCATGTGATCCCTCAGGATGGCAATCTGATGGAGATCAATGCCGCCATATTCGGCCCTCAAAGCCTTGCACTTCTCCTTCGTCTCCATCAGCTCTCGGCTGGCTGCTTGGGAGGCTTCTGCTGCAATCGCGAAGCTCTTGTGTGCCTCCTGACATGGCATGTGCAATTCATTGCAATTCCACCGTATTCCACAATACTCCATCCTTCCATCCCTTGGGGCAGTTCAACTCTCAAAGTGCCACTGTCTCACAATGTGTATGCATGCATCCGGTCATGTAAAGAAACCCTACCCTTTTATTCTCTTTTACTCAATGTGACTCAATGTTCAACATCCGTGTGATATGCATCTCTAGCCACAAAAACATCGATTGCAGTACAAGGCAATCCTGTTGCTACAGTTCCAACCCCCGGTCCAGTCCTCCAAGTCCTTTCCCACCGTGGTCAACTGGCCCTTGATGGCTGCAGCATCCTCGGCAGCCTTGGCAGCTCGACGTTGCTGGTCGCTTTCGCTCTCTTTGGCTTCCTTGGAGATCTGCTTGAAACGCTCAGCACGCCACTTGGCGCAATCACCGCGGTTGTCCACCCAGTCGGTGTACCAACTACCCAGCCAACCAGAGCGCTTCTTGTACGCAATGTTCAAGGTCTCAGCTGCCTCCTTGGCCTTGTCAGCAGCCTCTCTGTCCAAGTCATCTGCTCGACGTGTCAACTCGGCTAAGGAGCCTTTCTCATTGGCAGCGATGCTCTCAAACACCAGGCTTTTGCACTGGAGCTCTTCCCTCTGGCCTGAAAGCTTTGCTAACTTCTGGGCTGCAGCCTTCTCCTGCTCCCTGGCGTTGTTCAGCGCCTTTTGGTTGGCCTCTAGATCTTTCAGGAAGGCCTCGCATTGAGCAGATCCACCGAACTGTGCGATGACTTGCATCACAGCATGCTGCATTTTCTGTTCTTTCCCTTGCCAATCTACCATTTGATCGGCCAGCGCTCGACATTCGGCAATCTTCTTCTGAGCATCATTCCGACATTGTTCCAACCGCTGCAAATTCAGCATGGTCACCTTGAAGTTCTTCTTCTGGAACTTGATCGTGCCACCTGCCTGGCCGCTATTCCAAAGCTTCTGGAGCTCCTTCAAGGTGTTGCTTTCCAACTGGTAGCAGGTTCCTACCACTTGGCCCACGGCGCAGCCCACATCGAACATCCAAATGCGCTGGCCTGTCACCAGCTTCATAGCCTCACGAGCTGCAGTCCCATCCTTGGGCAAGTATTGCGCAATCACCTCGCTGCAAATGTTTTTCTACGTGAAAAACATGATGGGAGAAACTTGAAACGGGTCTTTAAAAAGAATTATTACAGAGGTGTTTCAGTGTGTTCGGATCTCATGGGTTATGCCATCTCGCTCCCCAAAGGATCGAGAAGGGAGACGTGTCGAAAGTTCGGATCCACTCTGCAACTGGACTCAGTTTTTGTTTTTTTTCCGATTCACTGTTCAACGGCAATGGAACTCTTCGGGCCTGCAGGGCTTCGTAGAAGCTGCAGGTGCGTTTCCCAAAGGACCGCATGGTCGAGAAGCTCAAGGCCAACTCCTGATGCGCACAACGTGGATGCTGATGCTCATAGTGATGGACAGCCCCAGCCGCATAAGGCACCACCTCGTGTCCCTGGTCTCCATAGCCAGACATGTCAGGGACAAATGGCTGGGCAATGGGCGCAGAAGCGGAAGCGAAGAAAGCCTGAGTGAAATTGCTTTCAGGAACCTCAATTTTTTGGCAATGAATTAGTGAATTGAGCCAGTATTGCAATATATTGCAGTAGTCTCCACGTTGGCATGGGCTATGAATCCAAAGAAACACCCAGAGGCACTCACAGCCACGCCTCGTCTACACTCCTGAACTTCCACCGCCAAAGCACCTGCGATTTTGCCCAAATGTCGCACGTCAAGCCCAAGCTGAATTCATACATGTTCACTAAGAATTGAAAGGATGTCGCACAGGTTTTCAAGAGCTTTTGATGCCTGTGTTGACGTTGCTGCACTTTCATCGACACAGGCTGTCCGCGTTCAAGATGCGCAGTGCTGTCTTTGTCTATCTGAGTGAATTTCAACACCCTGGGCAAACTTGAAACTGACCCTGAATGTATACACTATCTGGGACTGAAACTGCGACCGTCTGCACGTCTGAAGCAAGAGAAGAAGCTAGTCAAATTAGAAAGGCCCCAGAGTGCTCGAGTGATGGCACGAAGCCATTCATTTTGGAAAGGTCCTTCCAGACACTGCAAGAAATTGTGTCTGAGGGCTTGGCCGAAAGACACCTCGACGCATCAAAGCGTGAAGCAGCATCTGTTGTCAAAGGACGCTGCAGCATGTATCGCGGCCACCTCACGACACATCAATCGTCATGAACGACATGAACGTCATGAACGTCAAGAACGTCATGGAAACTGCAGCAGTTTTCCAGGGTCAGGATCCAGTAGGCTGAGTTTCGAGTTCGTGAACCATCTCTACCCAAAAAGCAAAGCACCGCATTCAGCGAATCAGGAAATCGCCAAAATGAAAGGGAGCGGAAGAGTATTTTTTGTCCTCAGCCGCCGAGCTCCCACCACCTTAACCAACTTGGTTCTGCAGGCAAATATGGTCGCAAGGTTCTGTACAGTTGCGGCAGATGTTGTTTGCAAGGCTCTTTGGAAGTTAAGAATTGAAGTGCCCCAGCCCAAAGAGACGAGAAAACTGGATACAGCGAACATTGCAAAACCATCGATCGTATTGACGCATCGCAAAAAAACATAGAAGAATATGATACTAGCTCGGAGTTCGATGGGCTAAGTAAAGGGGCTCAAAACCAAAGAACGCTGAAGATAAATGGATGGCTCTCAGAACAGTTCATCATCATCAAGTTCGCCCAACTTCAAGACCTCTGGTCGTTTTCGACATGGAGTGGCCACTTCGCTGATGACATCCCAATCCTGGCAGCCAACCCTTTCAAAGTCTGGGCCCCGGTCTGGGAGTCGCCCTCCTTCAAGCGTAAACCAAATAGGTCAAAGTCGGTCAAAATAGGTCAAAATAGGTCAAAATAAAGGCCATCATCCAATGGTCGTTGATTGAAAAACGCGATTTTAAAACCATTCATGATCCATATATGTTTCGACGGTATCCCCTATATGTTGCTTCGTATTCCGTTTGCGGGGACCCACGCACTGCGCTTTCGCGCCTCACTCCCATGTGAAGAAGGCGGTGGCTTGAGACTTTCCATCCGTTGCCGGAGTTCGTCCTGCAAAGGCTGCATTTCCTGCGAGAAGAACTTGGAATCTTCAATCGCCTGGAGGATTTCATTCTGCAAACTGCTCAAAAGCCGCTTGCATTCCTCCTCATCATCCTCGTCCAAGAATTCTTTGAAACGCTCACAGAGCAGCTCGTGCTGTTTCATGGCACCCTCCATGCACGCGAACATGCAGTGATCCTCCATGCCCTGTGCCCCCAGCAACTGCGGGAAGGCCTGCATGTGATCCCTCAGGATGGCAATCTGATGGAGATCAATGCCGCCATATTCGGCCCTCAAAGCCTTGCACTTCTCCTTCGTCTCCATCAGCTCTCGGCTGGCTGCTTGGGAGGCTTCTGCTGCAATCGCGAAGCTCTTGTGTGCCTCCTGACATGGCATGTGCAATTCATTGCAATTCCACCGTATTCCACAATACTCCATCCTTCCATCCCTTGGGGCAGTTCAACTCTCAAAGTGCCACTGTCTCACAATGTGTATGCATGCATCCGGTCATGTAAAGAAACCCTACCCTTTTATTCTCTTTTACTCAATGTGACTCAATGTTCAACATCCGTGTGATATGCATCTCTAGCCACAAAAACATCGATTGCAGTACAAGGCAATCCTGTTGCTACAGTTCCAACCCCCGGTCCAGTCCTCCAAGTCCTTTCCCACCGTGGTCAACTGGCCCTTGATGGCTGCAGCATCCTCGGCAGCCTTGGCAGCTCGACGTTGCTGGTCGCTTTCGCTCTCTTTGGCTTCCTTGGAGATCTGCTTGAAACGCTCAGCACGCCACTTGGCGCAATCACCGCGGTTGTCCACCCAGTCGGTGTACCAACTACCCAGCCAACCAGAGCGCTTCTTGTACGCAATGTTCAAGGTCTCAGCTGCCTCCTTGGCCTTGTCAGCAGCCTCTCTGTCCAAGTCATCTGCTCGACGTGTCAACTCGGCTAAGGAGCCTTTCTCATTGGCAGCGATGCTCTCAAACACCAGGCTTTTGCACTGGAGCTCTTCCCTCTGGCCTGAAAGCTTTGCTAACTTCTGGGCTGCAGCCTTCTCCTGCTCCCTGGCGTTGTTCAGCGCCTTTTGGTTGGCCTCTAGATCTTTCAGGAAGGCCTCGCATTGAGCAGATCCACCGAACTGTGCGATGACTTGCATCACAGCATGCTGCATTTTCTGTTCTTTCCCTTGCCAATCTACCATTTGATCGGCCAGCGCTCGACATTCGGCAATCTTCTTCTGAGCATCATTCCGACATTGTTCCAACCGCTGCAAATTCAGCATGGTCACCTTGAAGTTCTTCTTCTGGAACTTGATCGTGCCACCTGCCTGGCCGCTATTCCAAAGCTTCTGGAGCTCCTTCAAGGTGTTGCTTTCCAACTGGTAGCAGGTTCCTACCACTTGGCCCACGGCGCAGCCCACATCGAACATCCAAATGCGCTGGCCTGTCACCAGCTTCATAGCCTCACGAGCTGCAGTCCCATCCTTGGGCAAGTATTGCGCAATCACCTCGCTGCAAATGTTTTTCTACGTGAAAAACATGATGGGAGAAACTTGAAACGGGTCTTTAAAAAGAATTATTACAGAGGTGTTTCAGTGTGTTCGGATCTCATGGGTTATGCCATCTCGCTCCCCAAAGGATCGAGAAGGGAGACGTGTCGAAAGTTCGGATCCACTCTGCAACTGGACTCAGTTTTTGTTTTTTTTCCGATTCACTGTTCAACGGCAATGGAACTCTTCGGGCCTGCAGGGCTTCGTAGAAGCTGCAGGTGCGTTTCCCAAAGGACCGCATGGTCGAGAAGCTCAAGGCCAACTCCTGATGCGCACAACGTGGATGCTGATGCTCATAGTGATGGACAGCCCCAGCCGCATAAGGCACCACCTCGTGTCCCTGGTCTCCATAGCCAGACATGTCAGGGACAAATGGCTGGGCAATGGGCGCAGAAGCGGAAGCGAAGAAAGCCTGAGTGAAATTGCTTTCAGGAACCTCAATTTTTTGGCAATGAATTAGTGAATTGAGCCAGTATTGCAATATATTGCAGTAGTCTCCACGTTGGCATGGGCTATGAATCCAAAGAAACACCCAGAGGCACTCACAGCCACGCCTCGTCTACACTCCTGAACTTCCACCGCCAAAGCACCTGCGATTTTGCCCAAATGTCGCACGTCAAGCCCAAGCTGAATTCATACATGTTCACTAAGAATTGAAAGGATGTCGCACAGGTTTTCAAGAGCTTTTGATGCCTGTGTTTACGTTGCTGCACTTTCATCGACACAGGTTGTCCGCTTTCAAGATGCGCAGTGCTGTCTTTGTCTATCTGAGTGAATTTCAACACCCTGGGCAAACTTGAAACTGACCCTGAATGTATACACTATCTGGGACTGAAACTGCGACCGTCTGCACGTCTGAAGCAAGAGAAGAAGCTAGTCAAATTAGAAAGGCCCCAGAGTGCTCGAGTGATGGCACGAAGCCATTCATTTTGGAAAGGTCCTTCCAGACACTGCAAGAAATTGTGTCTGAGGGCTTGGCCGAAAGACACCTCGACGCATCAAAGCGTGAAGCAGCATCTGTTGTCAAAGGACGCTGCAGCATGTATCGCGGCCACCTCACGACACATCAATCGTCATGAACGACATGAACGTCATGAACGTCAAGAACGTCATGGAAACTGCAGCAGTTTTCCAGGGTCAGGATCCAGTAGGCTGAGTTTCGAGTTCGTGAACCATCTCTACCCAAAAAGCAAAGCACCGCATTCAGCGAATCAGGAAATCGCCAAAATGAAAGGGAGCGGAAGAGTATTTTTTGTCCTCAGCCGCCGAGCTCCCACCACCTTAACCAACTTGGTTCTGCAGGCAAATATGGTCGCAAGGTTCTGTACAGTTGCGGCAGATGTTGTTTGCAAGGCTCTTTGGAATTTAAGAATTGAAGTGCCCCAGCCCAAAGAGACGAGAAAACTGGATACAGCGAACATTGCAAAACCATCGGTCGTATTGACGCATCGCAAAAAACCATAGAAGAATATGATACTTACGGCTAAGTAAAGGGTTGTGACATTTGGATAGTTGGTTCAGAACAAATCATCTGCATCCAGCTGACCCAGCTTGGAGGTCTTCCGTCTTCGGCTTGGGGTGGCCACCTGGCTCACCACAGAGTCCTGCGAGGCAAAAACCATACACAATGTTTGATTCGAAGAATGCCATGAACTCCCCTCAAACCTGATCTATTGGTTCCCAAAAAACCATGGGATAGGACCGGGAAACGAAAACGTACCAAAAGACTTGAAACAAAAAAGAAATTCCCTAAAATTCCCTAAAACACGAGTTGTCCTGAAGTGCCGCTCGCCAGAGCTCATCGTCACTGAGGTGGACCTCCCGACGCAAGGGTTCCAGGTCCCGGGAGGAGCTGTTCAAGTCCTGCACGGCGCAAATCCAGGTGTTTTTTTGATCGGATAAAGCCAACGGAAATCGATTGAACCCAAGAAAAACTGGGGATTTCGTGTCGTGGCCAAAGAGACACCATTTTTTGAAAAAATGGAAACAACAACCAAAGGAGATTTAACATACACAGACACGAGACTTTCGCCAACATCAATCTATTCACGGCCATGTAAAAAAGGGGGAGTGCAAGTATCTCATAGGAGGTATTTGACCCCAGGTACAGCAAATACACAAACACAAGTAGGATACATATTTAGAAACACCGTATGGGAATGTATCAACATTTAAAGCCAATGAGACCACAGATTGGCCCTTTTCAATTCCCCCTCTGGATGATCCAATTGGTGGGCCTGACACTTCTGGGAAGTTACCTGAAAGATGCTACCATGTATCGTATGTATCATCTCCATAAAAAAAGAACTGGTGACAAGAGCTTTTTGGTGATAGAGAGCCTTGGGGGAAGCCACCTTGACCCAGGCCCCAATGCTTCAATCATCCTCTCCTCGAGATAGGCATCGAACAGAGGTTCCACGTCGCTCAGCAGCTGCGCAGGATCCTCTTCCTCATCCGTTTTGAGGAAAACTTGAAGCCTCTCAGATTGGGTGAACTGCTTCCCCATGCGTTGCATTTCTTCCACAAACAGTCGTGCAAAGCGAGGGGTCAACATGTGTCAACCCATACAAAAGACCACCAGCAAATGTCGTGCTCCCCACCTTCGGCAAAGCAGCTCATGTTGCATCAGCCCACCACGAAGGCACTCGAAGATAATTGAATCCTCAATGCCTTTTTCGGCCAACAACCCGGGGAGCGCTTGCAGCAAATGCTGAAGCTCCTCTGCAAACGAGGGTTCAGCATCCAAACAAATGGGTTCAAGACACTTGGGGGTGTTGCCAACAAAATTTCTGTAGATAGCATCTTCAAAAATTGAAATTCATACCAACTTGACCCCACAGACAATGTGGCCAACTGAAAAATGTTGCTGTTTCAACACCTCTAGGAAAAGAATGTGACCATCTTAGATGGTCACTTTTGACCTTGCCATGCACCAGCAAACCGCAGGATTCAGGAGTTTGTCCTCAGTGCTAGTGCTGATCTACACCACTAACTATGAATTTTACGTAAAGAGGATACCCATGAACATCATGAACCTTTGAGTTCATGGGTTTGGTGGCCCCAAACTAGATCACAGGAGCCATGGATGGTACTATCCATCATCTACACCACAAATTGGATTGACAAAGGGTGGCTTCTGCTGGTTCACACCCACCTCTTCATGCCCACACTTTGGCACATACCAAGCCTGGAACCAGGGTGCGCCATCTGACCTTTCCCGGGTTGTTTGCAAAGCATGGGAAGCCACTGCCAAACGCTGCTGCACCTTGCAGAGCGCTACAGTTGAGAGGCCGAATACATCAGGCGTCTCTCACAATGTGCAACAAAACTTTGCAAGCTTGTCTATTTCAGTGAGGAAACCTGAGGTTTTGATTAGCCGATCAAAAAGAGCTGTCAAAAGGGTCCGAATGCAGATAGGTCTAGATGTAGTCGTTTACCGGACAATACAACCAACCATATCTATCCGTATCCTCTGTACTATTAGTCATAACCCTAATTTTTGTTGCTTTTCTGACACCCTCGTACCGCGATACTTTCCACTAAAATGTCACGTGTTCCTGCCCTTCCCGCCTCGTGCAGTTCCTCTGCCGTGGCTTCTGCAAGGTGCTTCGCTGCCAAGGCAACCGCCACCTCAGCATTCAGCGACGCGTCCGACGCGTCGTTGCGGTGTCCGACGGCGCCGTAGAGCTCGATGATGCGCATGACGGCATGTTGCATCTTAATCTGATCCTGGAGCACCGCTTGGTGTTTGCAAAAACTGAAAGTTACGTGATACGTTCGGATCATCATCTTTACATTGTGGAATGTTAAAGGGGATAGAAGAGGAAAACAGCTTGAAACTACCAAGCAGTTGTCGTTGTTCGAGAAAAGGTTCATGAGCTTCTCGCATTCACAGCTTTTGGCAGTCACCTGGCATCGAAAGTCCGACAACTTGCTCAGATTGCTTGCCGCTATCTGCAGGCTGGACTTGAGTGTCTCTCGGGTCATGTCGCCCTTGCACAACTCCGACAAAACTTCCAGTTGCAGCTTGGTTGACTTGGAAAGGCTGTCAAACATGGCAAGGAGTTGTACCAAAGCACGCCGAACTTGGAGTACCCAGGTGGACCAGGGTGTTACCATGCCACACGCTTCTTCTGCCACATCGCCCAAAAATTTCAGGTGGCCCAACAGGCTGCAGAAGACTTGAAAAACGCTGGACACTTTCTGAGCCAACATCGATGATCGCACACTTCCTGATGGTTTCAACATGTTTCAACACAAAAGAATATGAAAAGTCAGTTCGAATCCTCTCACTCATTCTTGTGAGGGTGTAAAATTACACAGAAGTGTGCTGAATAGCCCGTCATGAGGACAAGGTCTGTGTCGGCCGCGGTGAGTCGGCCGGCGGGGTGGGCGTGTTGGCCGCGGCTGGGTGTGCGAGTCGGCCGGCGCCAAGTGCCGTGTCGGCCGGCGCCAAGTGCCGTGTCGGCCGGCGCTAAATGCCGTGACGGCCGGCGCCAGGTATACCGTGTCGGCCGCGGAGGGGCTGTGTCGGACGGCGGCACTTGAGTCGGCCGCGGGGCTTCTGTGTCGGACCGCGGGGCGGCTCGCGCAGGGCTGTCATTTAAAGACGGAAAAAGATCCCAGCGCTAACTTAGCAAAGTAAGGTCTGTGTGTCGAAACTGGCATGTCTGTGTCGGCCGCGGGGCTTCTGTGTCGGCCGCGGAGGGGCTGTGTCGGACGGCGGCGCTTGAGCCGGCCGCAGAGGGCTTCCACAGGGTATGGGAAAAAAGACCCCAGCGCTAACTTAGCAAACTAAGGTCTGTGTGTCGAAACTGGCGTCTTTGTGTCGGCCGCGGGGCTTCTGTGTCGGCCGCGGAGGGGCTGTGTCGGACGGCGGCGCTTGAGCCGGCCGCAGAAGGCTTCCACAGGGTATGGGAAAAAAGACCCCAGCGCTAACTTAGCAAACTAAGGTCTGTGTGTCGAAACTGGCGTGTCTGTGTCGGCCGAGGGGCTTGTGTGTCGGCCGCGGAGGGGCTGTGTCGGACGGCGTTGAGTCGGCCGCGGAGGGCTTCCACAGGGTAGGAAAAAAGAGCCCAGCGCTAACTTAGCAAACTAAGGTCTGTGTGTCGAAACTGGCGTGTCTGTGTCGGCCGCGGGGCTTCTGTGTTGGCCGCGGAGGGGCTGTCTCGGAACGGCGGCGCTTGAGTCGGCCGCCGGGCTCCTGTGTCGGACGGCGGCGCTTGAGTGGGCCGCGGGGCTCCTGTGTCGGACGGCGGGCTGCAGGGCTTCCGCAGGGTATAGGAAAAAAGACCCCAGCACTAACTTAGCAAACTAAGGTCTGTGTGTCGAAACTGGCATGTCTGTGTCGGCCGCGGGGCTTCTGTGTCGCCCGCGGAGGGGCTGTGTCGGACGGCGGCGCCTGAGTCGGCCGCGGGGCTTCTGTGTCGGACGGCGGGGCGGCGCGTGCAGGGCTTCCACAAAGAAAGAAAAAAAGATCCCAGCGCTAACTTAGCAAACTAAGGTCTGTGTGTCGAAACTGGCATGTCTGTGTCGGCCGCGGGCTTCTGTGTCCGCCGCGGGGCTTCTGTGTCGGCCGCCAAGGGGCTGTGTCGGACGGCGGCGCCTGAGTCCCAACTATCTTGCAACGTCACAACATCTTCTAAATGTGCCATCTTTGACGAGTTACAAGAGAAAATTCGGAGCATAGCGTCAAGACCGGCTCAAAAAGTGACTGAAAAAAGTTCAGAGCAGAGCATCAAGAGCGTGTCACAAGCTGCATGTGCCTGTGTCGGACAAAAGCATCAAGAGCGTGTCACAAGCTGCATGTGCCTGTGTCGGACAAAAGTTTCCGACCCCCTCCTTCCCCCCCACCTTCCCCCCCACCCCCCTCCCCAAAAATAATCACACGGTCATTCGTCGACAATGTTGTGAAACGTTTCAATCATCTTGCAACGTGCCAAGCATCTTGCAACGTGCCAACTATCTTGCAACAACACAACATCTTCTAAATGCGCCATCTGTGACAAATTACAAGAGAAAATTCGGAGCATAGCGTCAAGACCGGCTCAAAAAGTGACTGGACCTGCATGTGACAGTGTCGGACAAAAGTTTCCCACCCCCTCCCCCACCCCACCTTCCCCCCCACCCCCCTCCCCACCCCAAAAATAATCACACGGTCATTCGTCGACAATGTTGTGAAACGTTTCAAGCATCTTGCAACGTGCCAACTTTCTTGCAACCTCACAACATCTTCTAAATGTGCCATCTTTGACGAGTTACAAGAGAAAATTCGGAGCATAGCGTCAAGACCGGCTCAAAAAGTGACTGGAAAAAGTTCAGAGCAGAGCATCAAGAGCGTGTCACAAGCTGCATGTGCCTGTGTCGGACAAAAGTTTCCCACTCCCCCACCCTCCTTCCCCCCACCTTCCCCCCCACCCGAAAAAAATCACACGGTCATTTGTCGACAATGTTGTGAAACGTTTCAAGCATCTTGCAACGTGCCAAGCATCTTGCAACGTGCCAACTATCTTGCAACGTCACAACATCTTCTAAATGCGCCATCTTTGACAGGTTACAAGAGAAAATTCCGAGCATAGCGTCAAGACCGGCTCAAAAAGTGACTGAAAAAAGTTCAGAGCAGAGCATCAAGAGCGTGTCACAAGCTGCATGTGCCTGCATCCGACAAGAGTTTCCCACCCCGTCCCCCTAAATGTGCCATCAATGACGAGTTACAAGATTCTCAGAGAAAATTCGGAGCATAGCGCCAAGACCGGCTCAAAAAGTGACTGGAAAAAGTTCAGAGCAGAGCATCAAGAGCGTGTCACAAGCTGCATGTGCCTGTGTCGGACAAAAGTTTCCCACTCCCCCCCCCCCCCTCCCCCCCCCCCCCCCCCCCCCCCCCCACCCTCCTTCCCCCCCACCCCCCCTTCCCCCCTCCCCACCCCCCCCCACCCCAAAAATAATCCCAACGGTCATTCGTCGGCCATGTTGTGAAACGTTTCAATCATCTTGCAACGCGCCCAACATCTTTTCACGTTCCAACCACTTGCAACGTCCCCAAAACATGCTTCTAAATGCGACTGTGTGCAAGTTTCAAGAAAAATTCGGAGCATGGCCTTCAAGACCTCGACTCAAAAAGTGACTTTAAAAAGTTTCAGAGATGAGCAAATGAAGAGCGTGTCACAAGCGCTGTGCCTACTGTGTGCCGGACAAAACACACTGTCCATTCGCCGACAAATTTTATGACTTTCAAGCATCTTGCAACGTGCCAAGCATCTTGCAACGTGCCAGCTATCTTGCAACGTCACAACATCTTCTAAATGCGCCATCTGTGACAAGTTACAAGAGAAAATTCGGAGCATAGCGTCAAGACCGGCTCAAAAAGTGACTGGAACAAGTTCAGAGCAGAGCATCAAGAGCGTGTCACAAGCTGCATGTGCCTACGTGTGTCGGACAAAAGTTTCCCCCCACCTCCCCCACCCCAAAAATAATCACACGGTCATTCGTCGACAATGTTGTGAAACGTTTCAAGCATCTTGCAACGTGCCAACTTTCTTGCAACCTCACAACATCTTCTAAATGTGCCATCTTTGACGAGTTACAAGAGAAAGTTCGGAGCATAGCATCAGACCGGCTCAAAAAGTGACTGGAAAAAGTTCAGAGCAGAGCATCAAGAGCGTGTCACAAGCTGCATGTGCCTACGTGTGTCGGACAAAACACACGGTCATTCGCCGACAATGTTATGAAACATTTCAAGCATCTTGCAACGTGCCAGGCATCTTGCGACGTGCCAACTACCTTGCAACGTCACAACATCTTCTAAATGTGCCATGATTTACAAGTTACAAAAGAAAATTCGGAGCATAGCGTCAAGACCAACTCAAAAAGTGACTTAAAAAGTTCAGAGCCGAGCATCAAGGGCGTGTCACAAGCTGCAAGAGAAAGTTCAGAGTTCAGCATCACGAGGTGCTACGAGTGCGCTGTTAACAGTTACCATCCCAATCACACGGTCATTCGTCAATGTGCCTACGTGTGTCGGACAAAAGTTTCATGTGCTCATTTCCTTTCATGTCCTCTCACGGATCCCCCTCATTTCATTTCGTTTCTTTTCGTGTCCTGCGTGCGTCCTGGTTGTCTGACTCGCGAACTGGTTGGCTGACTCGCGACCTGGTTGGCTGACTCGTGACCTGTTGGCTGACTCGCGACCGGTTGTCTGACTCGCGACCTGGTTGGCTGACTCGCGACCTGGTTGGCTGACTCGTGACCTGGTTGGCTGGCTCGCGACCGGTTGTCTGACTCGCGACCTGGTTGGCTGACTCGCAACCTGGTTGGCTGACTCGCGCCTTCCTGGTTGGCTGACTCGCGCCTTCCTGGTTGGCTGACTCGCGCCTTCCTGGTTGGCTGACTCGCGCCTTCCTGTTGGCTGACTCGCGCCTTCCTGTTGGCTGACTCGCGCCTTCCTGCTGGCTGACTCAGGTTGGCTGACTCGCAGCCCTGTTGGCTGACACGGTCTTCGCCCAAGAACCCTGCGCTCAGACGCTCTCGGGAAAAATGGTTTTCGCTTGAATTTTCTCAAAAAATTACATTTTCCTTGATTTTTTCAAAAATGATTCTTTTTTTTGAAACTTTCTCCCAGAAGTAACTAATTTATCAGAAAACACACACATGTTATTCTCTGTTGTGTTTGGTTGTTTCCAAAGGATCGCATGTCCACCTGCGAGTTTTAAATAGTTGCCTCAGGTAGTTCTGTAAAGTATAGAATGTTGTACAACCCATGCTGGTTCAATCTATATTGGCCCAATGTTTTCCATGCCAAGTGAAGAAACAGGTGAGTCAAGCGAAATTTTCTATCCTCAGGTGTTTATTTTAATTCATATATATATACATAATATTTATATATTTAGTTCACTGGTTCATGTGTTTTTTCCCAGGGAGGCTTGGGTATGACCGTTTTACTCCAGCCAAGTTGTATATAGTTTGGGTGAAACTACTCTGGCCGGGGTTTGGTGGTTCAATGGTCATACTCCTGTGAATTTTCCTCTTCAAAGCTCTCTTCTGTTGGGTCGTGCCACCTGAAGCAAGTGGGACTACATGTGAACGGCTGAAGCCAACTAAACATGCGATAAGTGAAAGTGGACAATATGTCAAATGCATCTCCAAGACCACAGGTGCCAATTCAACATATGAAAATGCAAATGGGGCGGGTGACAGCATGCATGTGAAAGAGGGAAGCCAAGGGAAACAAGTCATCATGTCAAAGTGCTGTTCATAACAATCCAAGAATTGAAACTACAATGAAAAAAATGAAAGAATATAAGTCTGAACAAGGGCCTCCACAGGCTTCACTGGGCTTGTGCCCTCTTTTGCGTGAAGCAAACCGATGGCATTCCTTCAGCATCTGGGACATCCTGGGATCCTTGGCTTCTCAACCAAGCCTCCA